GTCTGCTATTAAATGCCAGTAAAACCCAAGTTATGTTTGTGAGACCCCGTGGTTGTCTGGACGGACCATCTGAAGTGAAGTGTGGTACCACAGTGCTTGATGTTACTCCAGTCACGAAGTATCTCGGTGTCATGCTTGATGACCAACTGTCCTGGAAGCCCCAAGTGGACTTTATTGCCAGCAAGACTGCTACTACAATCGGGCAGCTCTGGCGCCATGGACGGTGCCTTTCACTCAATGCCCGCCGGGCCTGGTACATGAGTATGATCCAGTCTGTGCTCTGCTATGCCTCAAACTGTTTCTTTCCCGCTCTATCCAAACTGCTGCTGCATCGACTGCTACGCATTGCTAAGTCTGGCATACGAGCCATCTTCCAACTCCCCAGAAGGACCCCCACTGCTCCCCTATTTGCCAGACTATCAATGCCTCAGCTCCACCAGCTGTACGTGCAACGTCTGCTTCTCTTCGTCTTCCGCTGCCTTCATGGCAGAGCCAGCTCACTGTTCCAATCCTACTACTCCCTCATTGCCACGGATGTGGACAGAAGTTGTGTCACGCGTGGTCAGGTCAGCCAGCTGCTCAGAGTGCCGTTCCTACCTGGTCCCTCAGGCCGTAGCTCAATCGCCTTCGTTGGCAGTACCACATGGAACTCTCTCCCTGCTGATATTCGCGCTTGCGACGTACGCCACACGTTTCAAGCATTGCTGTCTGGCCATGATCTTATCTCCCTCCTCAACTAGCTCTCCGATGTTGTGCCTACTATGTCTTCTTCACAGACTCTGCCTGAACAAATGCTCATCAATTATGTTCTTGTCCTCTATCCTAGTCCAAATTCTGCCTTGCCCATGCATGACTCTCATGAAATGCCCGTACTAAATAGTCTATAGAACAATAATATTGGATATCATACTTCTCTCATCAACTATGATAATACCCATTTCATACCCCCCCCCCCCTTCATAAAATTAATACCTACTGTTTTCTTTCCTTTCATTTCATCTTCTTTTCCGTTCCTTTCTTCTTCATACAAATTTTAAACATTTTCATCATATTGTGAGAGCCGTGGGCCAATAGCCCCGGTGAGAAGGCAGTCTTGCCTGTTCATATGGTGAAGTAAAATAAAGAAACAACAACAACAACCTGAGGTCTCGGCTTCAGCGACACTTCAGAGCACCAAAAACTGGGGAGGAGTAGGCACAGGGGGAGGGGAGGGGGGGGGGTACATTTATATAGAGGAAGGAAAAACGGAAAGATGATACATGTGATAGAGGAAGAAAATAAAAAATAAAAATAAAAAATAAATAAAATAATAAAAAATAAAAAAAATAAAAAGGGGGGAGCCAGGGTGCAAGCAGAGAGGGTGTTCAGGGAGTGTTCAGAGGGCATCTGTGGCTGAACGCCAGTCTCGGCTGCGGAGCGACTTGTACTTGTAGGCGCCTTCCTTGAATGCCTGCATTCCCTTCTGCGTGGGAAGGTTGCGTAGCAGGGCAGATGGGAGACGATTCCAGTCTTGGATCGTGGCATGGGGGAATGATCGGAGAGCACTATTACGGGCTCCGGCGGGCAGTGTCGGTGCTAGTTGGTGCTGGTGCTGGTTCTTTTGCTGGTGGCGAGTGGAGCGCCGGTGCTGGTTTGCAACTGCCCTCGGTGGTGTCATGGTGGTCAGGATTTGGGGACCGTCGATCCAATGCAGCTTGTACAGGAATGTGAGTGCTGCGACTTGACGCCGAACAGTGAGGCTTGGGAGGTATGACCCTGGGCCGATGAGCTTTAGGGCTCTGTGCTGTACCCGGTCCAGCTGGTTCAGGGTAGACTGGGACGCACCCAACCATGAAAGCGGGCAGTACTCAAGTACTGGGCGGACGAAGCCGCGATACACTGCATACTTGGCCTTGCTGTCGAGAATGGGCAGGGCCTTCCTCATGAAGCCAAGACGTTGGTGACCACGGACTGCAACCTGTCGAATGTGGGAGCGAAAGGAGAGGCTCCGATCAAAGAGCACTCCGAGCAACTTCAGCTCCTCCACTTCCTCTATGGCCACCCCATTGAAAGTGGCTGGAGGAATCGGCCAGGGTTGACGGTGATGCGAAATTGTCAAGACTTGCGACTTTGTCGGCTCGAATGCGATCTTCCAGCTCTGGCCCCAAGCTGCTGCTACTCCTGTGCTAGCCCTCAACCACTGGCGCTCCTACTCGGCTCCAGTGTGGGCCATTAACCACCCTGCCCGATTTCGCACTGTTGCTATTCCACACCGTCAGCATTTAACTCTGAGGTCAGACCTTGATCCCTCCCACCATATGCTATCTGTCTGTCTGCCTCTCTCTCTCTCACACACAGATGTGCGCGCATCCACACAAACACACATGCACACACACACATGCACACACATGCACACACACAGTGACACAAACATACACATAGCCAACTTCTCTGTGTTTGGTGATCATCATCTGTTTTCTGATGTGCAAGCTCACCTCTGATGCCGATTACTTCCTTGCTTAGACCCGGTCTGCTATTAGACCAGTTTGCTCTCCCTTCACTCGCTTGTAAATCCTACTTGGAGCAGTAAGGTTGTGTCACTGCTCCTACTGATGTCATTGTTGTGAAAGCAATATCATCGCCATTGGTGGTAATTTTCCACCGTGCATGAATCATTAACAATCATCATCTATGTGTCACGGCCTAACCATCCTCGTAACTCCCCTCATTGTGACTAGTGCTGTACCGTTGAAACCTACTTTGCTTCAGTGTATATTCGCTAAAGCTCTTGTTTTGTTGCATAGTGATCTGACGCAGTGTGCTATAGCCTATCGGGTAATATGGATAAGATTAGTACAGCCGGCATCGCCTATCGAGTGACCAGGTACGTGTATAAGGATTAGGGCTGAAACGATCGTGGATTTTCAAGTATCGATTACTCTTTAGCTTAACGATCGAGTACTCGATTATAATCGTTAGCAAATAGAGTCATAATTCTGTGCAAACATTACTGTTTCCACAAACTATGCCTTCATAATACCAACAAATCTGCATTAGTGAAAGGGTAGCTCCGAAACATGGCAGTTTTGAAGTCAATTTAACCTCAGAACATGAACCGTACCCCTGGCAACTGCATACTCCCAGCGGAAACTGATTCAAACCTCACAAAACGAGGGTTTACAGTACTTTCTTGACACAAATTTAAAAAACGCAAAATAATCGTAATCGGTAATCTAAACAATTGCTCGATCGTTAGAGTTATCAAACGAGTACTCGATTATTCGGTATAATCATTTCAGCCCTAATAAGGATACTAGTACCGTAAAATCCCGCCAGAGCGCCCCGTCTCTCCCATCCGCCCCTCCCTGACTTCTTGTCAGGGACGTGATTGATTGTATCTTCGTATGACTCTGTCGCAGTCTGTGATGCCGTACTGTACTGCAGACGAGTGCTCAACCCCCTTGGAAATGTACGCAACAGTGCCCACCCTCTTGACCAGGGATCGCACAAACCCTGCGTTTTGTCGGGTCTGTACGACTCCTGGCTCTTGACCTTTGGTCGGTGTATGAGATGCACGAACAGTTTTCGTAGGGAGTACTTTTTCATGTAGCACTGGATGCGGCAAGTAGGACTCGCCCATCCGCCCCTCCCCACCTGAAGCGTCAAGGAGGTAGGGGCGCTCTGGCGGGATTTTACGGTACATGTATACCGGCTTAATGATATCGGAACACAAAATAATAGCACTATATGTGCAATATTCCTTTCTAAGCTCACGCTGTGCGGTGCAGATAGGTCATGTGTCGTTGCCAACTTGCCGCATGTGCATGTGCAGCAGGAAGGCACCACATGTCGACTACTACTTATACAGTACAGCATTGTGTGCTTACATGCATCTACGGCCTTGTGGATGCAATTGAGTCTCACATACATGTACATGAAATATTGCGTGTAGTGCGGCATCAGTTAACATACAGTGGCTAAATATTTTTCTCGCAATGACCGTATTCACCACAAGCCTTGTGTGTTTATGTCCAGAGCCAACTCAAGTCCTGTATTATTTATGACCATGACAACAAGACTTCCGGGCTGAAATTCTTCTATGACATGCATGAACACTTGCCTTACAATTGTTCGTGATTGTACGAAGTACATATTCGCTGTTGCATCAATTTTGCACCATTTACATTGTAGTGCCACTAGTGGTATCACCTGCATGCGTATTGAGTCAAACAAGGTTACCTCTGTATAATTATGCTTATCGTGGCTATCAAGAGCTTCGATGCAAATTCTCAGCTGACGAATGGTGTCCAGCTTGTGTTCAGCTCAGCTGGCACTCACAACTCATAATAATTGCGTTCTAGACGCCAGATGAGATGTTTCAGCTTCAATGTAGACACAACGTCCGTGTTCAAGAAAGCCGTCACTTCATCTTCTGTCCATCCTCAATAGCACGTTCAAGCAAATACGTCTGAAGCACAGTAGCGACAACCCGACAGCGGCGACACGCCGTCTTCTCCGAATGAGCTTCTACCGTTCTAATTCAGATTCTCCCAAAAATGTCAAAATAAATAATAGATTTCCACCAAGCTCGCTAAAATCTTGCGAACCGTCAACATGCAGGCATTTCAAGTGTTCGAGCGTGCGTAGATTCTGCTCAGCGGCTCAAGAACATTGGCCAAGCGAAAAAAAGTCGATGAGAAAGATGTAATGGTGGACGAAATTACGAAAATCGGAAGAAGGTATTCGACCCAGTTCGACTATCCTGGACTGGATTGGCAACGTCCAACAATCGGATTCGTATTCTATGGGGTCTCATGAGCTACAAAGGGCGTTTAGTTGGAGCTTCAGTGCATCACCTTCGCCGAAAGAGGCCCTTTCTGAGATTTGGCCGATGGACTATTAGTAGTAGATCTACTAGTAGTAGTAGATTTACTAGTAGTAGTCTGACAGCAGTCGGTAAGCAGCGTCGTTCTCACTTCCTCCGGCTTCCGACTACAAAATTAATGATGTCTTTCTGCCAATTCAGGTTTGTTTGCCGGTCTTCGCAGCACCATTCACCAATGTGATAAAATTAGTTCTACGTGTATGATGTAGGTCAGGAAAGAGAAGAGAGAGAGGATGGTGCTCCTTGCCGCTTCTTATCCATCCCTCTGGGCTATGGTCCTTGGTTACTATCTAGTCATCCAAATCATCTCACAGCCTGTTGCTGTGGCTGGACGACAGTTTCACAAGCTGCAACCATTCCAGCGGCCATTCAATGGCGTAGCGGAAGAAGAAATTGATTTGTTCGGACAAGATAAGCGGAGAAAGCCAGTCACCCACACCCACGACAGTGATGATATGTCACTGAGCAGCGTGAGCGAGGCGGACCGCCGGATGGTGGAAGAGCGCTTTCCGCCACAACCAAAAGTGGGTGTTCATCCACGCGTGCACACTAGTCCAGATGAGTTACCGGCGTTGAGGCAGCACTTGTCCACGACCAAAATGGGTAAGGTGGCGTTCAAATCGCTAATGGACGCACTGGCCAGAAGGATCAGCAAGTCTCCTCTCGATGCCCTCTGGAAGGAATTGATCGCTGGGAACAGCACAGACGCCATTGAGAATTACCTGATCGCTGGACTGGGTGCCGGCTGGGCGAATGTTCTATCTCAGACTGTTGGCTCAGCAGCTTTCATTCATTGTGCAATCACCCAGAACAGCAGTCTGTGTAGCGATGCAGGCAAGGTCTTGACAAGCATATCGAAGATTTACGAGCGCAACCTGGACAAGGTGAATCCAACAGCTGATTATCAGAACAGTATAATGCAGACGGTGCATGGGGAACGATGGATTTGGACTAGCATACGACTATACCTATAACACAATGGCTGAGGCAAGTCGCACACAGGTGCGTACCACCATCGTCAAGGCAACGGCCGGTAAGAAGACGTGCGGTGTGAACAAGAAGCCGTACACGTGCAACGGGAATTGGAACACGTTCCACCTGACACTGTGTACAATGGCATTAGCAATAGAGGGAGAGGAGGGGTGAGTTGCTCGACAACACTATTATCCATGACTATCATACATACCGTACATGTACAGCACTTGCTTCATTGGTCTCCTTCTTCCCGAGTTAAATATTGAAAGTAGTACAATGTGGAGATTCTCCGCTATTCGTTAAATATTTTTTAGACAAATAGCTGAGAATCTCCACAATGTACTACATGACATAAAAATGCACAACACAATTACCCTATGGAGTATGTGCCCCATAGGCCATAGAGCATTGGCTGTTGGTGTATTTGTGCATGCCTTTGTGCTGTGTTGTCCAGGTATGATCCAGAGATACTGAACCAGTCAATCACAGTCATGAAGAACTTCCTGGACTATGGACTGCATGCTAGCGGTGCCCCGTTTGAGCCATTCGGCAAGGGAGCAGTGCAATCACAGCATATGCATGCCATGGCTAAGAGAGGTGCCGTCGAGTCAACGGTCCTGCACCCAAACTACCTGGCATGCGTACGCAACTACTACCTACACGCTATGCAGCCATTTGGCTATGGGTATGCGTGGTTTGAGGAGTGGGGAGGAACTGGCTCAGCTGGCCGCATTATGGATGTGATCGTGGCCAAGTATGCTCTGCCGGACGACAAAACTATTGACTTTGTGTGGCGCAACAGCATCAGGGACAGCTACTATGACACAATATTCCCAACGGACGAGGCTTGGTCGGCGTTCTACGGCGTCATGGACTGGTACTCGGCAATCGTGCTATCTCAAGACTGGACCGGCGCACTGGACTGGGATACGGCGGTGGCAGATCTCAATGCTCCACTGGCGTACTTCTGCTCAGAGCGTGGTGTCATGATGGCACACTCACACTGGGCGAAAAATGCCACATGGCTAGAGTTCAACATACGATCAGACTATTGGTCCGGCGGGCATGATCATCCCGACCGCGGACACTTCAATTTTGCCATTCATGGCCGGATGTGGGGCATATACCCGACGATAGCGGGTCAGAGTACGACTCCGCCGTTCCTGGATGGAGATGGAGCACAATCTCGACACAAGAGCGTTCTGCTTGTTGATGGTCTTGGGCACGGAGGTGTTGTGGCACCACCTGGCAAAGCAGAGAAGTACATTGACAGTGAAGTGGCTACATTCGCCGTTGCCAATCTTACCTATGCGTACACATACTCCTGGTTTCTGGACAACTGGAAGGATGCCGAAGGCCACGTTGTGTGTTCGCACTATATCCCGGCCGAACCCGAGACCAACACGGTCAATGAATTTCAGTTGAACAAGGGCAACGATACCTGGCTAACTACTCCAATTTGGCAGCTCGCGGATGGCATCAGGCCTCTGTTTGATGGTGATCTTCCGCAGAATATGTGCCGCACTCTGTACAATCCTATGAAGTTGTTCTACTACAGAACCGTGAGCTGGTCTGGTGCCAAGCCAATGCTCCAAAGGCAATGCTGTAGCGGAACGCAATGACTACGCACTGATCATGGATGATACAGTGGCAGAGAAGGCAGCAGCGGTGAACGTCACCAAGGGTGGCCATGCTCAACTGCCCGTATACGAATGGGTGATGCAGGTATGTGTGCTTGTGTGCGTGTGAATGCGCATGTGTGCGTGCGTGGGTGTTAAAAAGCAGAACTATTTTAAACCAGTAATGGCGCAACAAATAGTGCAATAGTACATGTACATGCCTCCTCAGTCAGTGAGGGAGACCATTGAATACATTTTCAGTGTAAATGGTCGTTGAGATTTTTTAACCAGCTGGGTGTGTGGTTAACAATAGGAACATTTTGCCTCTTTCTGATTTCGTCTTTATTCTTGCTATGCTGTATGCCTATAACCTATGGCGTTTCTAAACTACAGTAGCTGCTGGGTTATTTTACCAAGTACAACTGTGTGACCGATTGATGAGCACGCAATCACGGCTTTGATAACTTACTAGTATTGCCGTTGACATTGGTGAAGTCAGAAGCATTGCTGGTAGCATGCGGATGACGTCGGCAATGGCAGCTAGTAGTGCACGATCAGTGCCTCTTGTGCATACTCCAAAGTACGCCACAAGTCTATTCAACATACTGTGCACCTTATCAGACTGGAAGGAATGGGGAATATCCGTGTGGTTTATGTCCATTCAAATGAAAAAGTCTTATTTTAAAAACTCAGTGGATCCCATCCATCTTGTTTCCGTGTTGCTTGTGTCCGATTATTCACACACAACCGATCAGACTGACATGGACGTGGTCATGGCAGCCTACAACGGAACGGACATCATTCTAAAGAGTAGCAACGCAAGTGATCCATCCCGACTACTGGTACGTGCTGTGGATATGGCACCCACTGCCGATGACCAGAAGGCCACAGTGACAGCAATGTCATTGCAGGTAGGTCATGAAACGTAAAACGTCTCGTTGTTTTGAGATCATCATGCCGGCTGTAACGATCCCCGTCCGATGGTGGCTTGGGGGATGGAGTACTCCATTCACGGATCAAAAACAAAACAAGATGATTTTAATAGAGTGTCACGGTTGTAAGACTGAGGTCGCTGTCGCGTTTCAGTAAAAAGCACATGCACCTGATCCACGCCTTGACCTACCGGCGCGGTATGCACCAAGTTTTTATGTTTGCTGGGCGGCAATGCATGCATGGACGCGAGTCATGCAAGCATGAGGTGACAATCTAGGGACACTAATACACCGCATCACTGGCCTATATGGACTACTTGTACTATGTAGCAATATAATATTATGCTAATCATTAATTAAACCTTACGAACTATATTCATCAGGTTGAGGGAATCGGAAAAAAGGGAAAGTCTGAAGTAAAATTGACTGCCACCACCAGGACTCGAATCAGGGACCCTCGTATATGGCCAGCGATGCTCTACCATTGTACGCTATAGTTGTGTATGTAGTCGTCATCAAACCTTACAAACACGTGCATTTCTGTACTACCATTCACGACGCATAACTTTCTGCGTGTGCATGTTGTTCCAGACATTCAACCAGTGGACTCGCTCTGGATTTGGCATGAGCAATGATGCACGTCATGAAGGATTGGAGAATGAAGGTGGCCTTGGCAAGCGTTTGGTGATTGCGACGCGCGCAGTGAACCCACTTTTCAAGATACTGCTCTACCCGTACATGTTTGGACAGAGCCTTCCCATCACAAACCTAGAGAGGGTGAATAGCTCCACTGCCAAGCTTACAATCTCAACTTGTGGTGGGGAGCAAGTTGATACATTTGACTTGAGTACGGACGGCACCACAGGCCGCACTGGATTCACAATGGCACGGAATGGAAAGCATGTCATCGATGTATAGGGGAATGATTACAGAAAACCTCGTTGTGAATAACGACCTCGGACACTTTTCTCATCCACAATCGAGGGTCGTTATTCCCAAGCTAGGTTGACTATACATGTATATTATTAATAATGCTATACAATGCTTATGGCTTTACTGGCCTGGCTGCTGCTGGGAATTAGAAAGCATCTAAGAGACATGTGCGGTCCTTCCAGGAACATGACACATTCTACCAGTACCTCTTTCTCATTGCAAACCATGATTTCAGTCTCTTCTCGTCACCCTACACGTACTCGACTATCTATAAAGTACTAGCAATTGTTTCTAAATCACATACATGTAGTGCTACCACGATGCAGCAACTTGTACACCCGATGCACCTGCTTCCCGTTGATCTTTCCCTAAATCACGGGAAGTCCCGGGCTACGAGTGCTGCAATTGTTCACTATCGTAATATCCTATTTCTGCATGCCGCAGTGCCGGCATGAAGGTATGCCGTCGAGGTCTTACGATAGCACTGTCTGTGTACGGTTTAGGTGGAGTGTAGAGATGCTGGTACGTGACGTAACGTTAGTTGAACGCACAAGCTGGACCATTGCCGCATCTACATGTGAACAAGACTCTCCAGACCAGAGTAATGAAAAACAAATAAACATTAGAATCACACACACACACACACACACACACACACACACACACACACTTCCGGAGACTTGACAAGTACGTGTAAAACTGCACGCTTTTCATTTCAACTGCAGAGCAGATGACAGTACACCAGTCAGTGATTCGGGCGATGTAAGCCAAGAAGATAAGACACAAATCCATGATACTATACGCATATTTTCTTCTATTTCTGTTCGTACTTGTAGTAAAGAATCAACACGGATCTCTATCAAGGGAATGCTTACACAGCACTGCGCTAGGGTGGATAGGCCGAAAAAATGAAGTAAAATAGACACCAGTGACTCTCTAGTCCGTATCAACTGCCAAGACAAGCGGAGACAATCATAGATCAGGAAAGGGGCTCTATTCAAGTACTACTTCACAACGGGAACAGACCAATAGCACACTGGCTATACTAGTCCACGGCAGCATACTCGCGAATCAAAATGTTAGAAAACTGCACCACATAGTACAGAACCAAGGAAAGGATAGGGAAGGAATAATAAACCATATCAGAAAAGTCCAGAGCCGCAAAGAACACTTTCTATCCGTATGTTTCAGAAAGTTTTTCATCGCCCACCCATTCGCAGATAGAAAGGCTCGACACAGAAACATGCAGCAGCATTGCCCCAAGGCCTAGAACTCAATGCTAGTGGCAATGTGTACGACAATCCCGTGCACATATCGCCATCGATCTCAGGCAAACTCTGTGCATTCGTTCATCTGCCGACAGTCCAATGCGGAGGTATCATACTTGGAAGAATGTACAAACTCAAACACCCACGCATTGCTGGGGCGTTGCAGGGATTTCTGCCATGGTAAGAACACAGTGATGGCACTGGCATCGTGTTGGATTCGTACTTTCACCTTGCTGCGATCGAGTAGCCAAACGGTGGCAAAATCACCAAACTCAGTGTTTGGCTTGGGAATCTTGCTGAAGAATGTGAGATAGGACTTCTTGCTGGCGTCAACTGACCTGACTCGACCCGCCAGTACAATCGCATATGCAGTCTTGCCATCCTGAGATTTCATGTAGCGCACAGGATCACCGTCGACTATAACTGACCCGGCCTTGAGCCATGGCTGCGTGTTCAAAACAGCTTGATGGTAAACGTCCAGCCAGGCACCAACGCCACGGAGAACATTTTGCTGGCACTTTGGAATATGCCCGTTCTCGTCTGGTCCAACATCAAGCAGCAGATTGCCATTCTTCGCAACCGTTGTGATCAGCAGCTCCACAACTTCATTTACTGTCATGTACGCCTTACAATTCTTGGACTGTTCCTCGACACGATTGAAGCCAAAGCTCTTGCCAATGCCTCGGCATGTTTCAAACACTTTTGCCTGCACTTTATCCATATCACTGTACTCAGGTGTTCCAAAGTCTCCGGTCCACTTCCATGGCGTACTTCCCTTGTTCAGATGCCAGCGTTCATTCACTATGCCCAGCTTGCACACATCGTTCAAGTACTTGGTGAATAAGTTTGGCAGTGAGTTCGGATCACGCAAGTTGAACTTTCCCAGCTCTGGCCAGTCAATATCATTCCAGAGTATTGCGGGCTTGTAACGTTCTATTAACTCACGCAGCTGAGCACCTGCGTAAGCAGCATACTCCTTACTCTTGGGCACCCCCGGGTGGCACAGGGCCTTTCCAGTGGGATCGTCAAAGCAGGTGTCGATGGGCCAATGGAAAGACCAGTCCAGACCCCCGCTATAGTAGAGACCCATCTGAAGACCCTCGGCACGCACAGCCTTACTCAGCTCCCCGACCAGGTCACGTTTCATTGGGTGACGTGGACCACCGCCGAACTGTCCCCATTTGGGATGAGATACTTGTGTTGGCCACAGGCAGAATCCATCATGGTGTTTGGTAGTTAGCACTACATACCCAGCGCCCGAGTCAGCGAAGAGCTTTGCCCACTCGTCCGGACGCCAGTTCTCCAAGCCGACGTCAAACTCACGGGAGAAACGCTCGTAGTACCACTTCTTCGGTGTCACTTGCTGTGGGTTTTCTCGGTAGGTGTCGATGTGGTGTTTCTGTGCTCCACTATCCTTCAGACGTGCAGTATTCAGATACCATTCCGAATACGGATTGTGGAAGAAATGAGTCTCAGGTGTCACACCCTTTTTGAAATCCGCAAATGAGTGCGCCGTCTCTGCCCACCCAGGAACACTGTAAAGGCCCCAGTGAATGAAGATGCCAAAACGAGCTGACCCAAACCACTTGGGGAGGCTGTGTGTGGAGAGGGACTTTTCATCTGGCTTGAAAGCAGCCGGACCGTTGAGTGAGCGTGTTTTGGCACACACGTCCACGCGCCTGTTGTACTTCCTGGCACCATTGACTGATTTCCCCGTTGGTTCACCGTACGAGAACGACGTCAGATAGCGCACATTCGTGCGGAGCGCACCACCACCCGCATACAACACTACAAGCAGCACTAGTGCAGCGACAATGCTCAGCACTACCTTGTGCTGTCGTACCAGTCTTGACCAACTCATCCCTTTTCCCACACCACCACCACCACGACCTGTATCACCCATTGAAGCAGCACGCGTACTATTACTACTACTATTTCAGACTATAGGCCGGACCGTCCAAGCTGAGTTGCACCACGTGCTTGGCACTCCGCAGCTATCTAGAGCAATGACTGTGACGTTACTTCAGCCCTAAAAAAAGCAGTGCATCAGTTCCACTGTCGACATGCCTACAATTGTAATCTAGCTGCGCTTACCGGCTATTTATCTAGCTGAGCAAGGGTCAGAAATTTTCAAAATTTGTAAAATCGCAAGCGGGACGACAGGTACATCTCGTACAAGCGCCAGCTACCTCTTCACATCACAACTAGCCTTCCCGTATACGCGTAGCACAAATACTCAGTAGCTGCTAAGTGCTATGCACTCAATCAATAAGTATACCGGTACTCCACGAGGTAACTCTAAAATTTAATAATTTTTTTAATTTTGTAATAGTCTACTACTACTAGTACTAGTACTAGTCATGTCTCTATCTACAAATCATGTACTCTGTCTCTTTACATGTCGAAAAAAATGAAAAAAATAGTGTGGCGTGGCATCAAGTCTTTTTTGAAGGGAAGCGCACTGAAAATACATGACTAGGACTGTCATGCTGTACCCATGCCAACCGTTGCTGTTCGAGATCCAGTGCATGCTAGCAGGCCACAATGCACAAACCATGACCACCAAACCAGTGTAAACCGTAACTGTTGCGTCGTTTTTGGGTGCCGGGCAGCGAAGCTGGAGTGGAGAGAAGTGGCATCTAGATATCTGGCTGACGTTTGTCGTGACATTAGAATTGTAAATCTGTCATAGCGCACACTGCATGCTGCCTCCTAGATCCTGAGCACAGCTGATCTTCTGACTTCTGCCTGAATGAGTGTCCAACCACTCGCACTCTCCCTGATTTCTTTGCTCACTGGTGAGCAACAGTACCTTCCTTGATTTCAGGTAAGCAAATATCTCAATTTTATGGTGCGACGACGCCTCTTGGATGATACTATTGTCACCTTGCCCTGCACCAGTACCAGTGGTGCAGCGAGTACCCTAGTTTCCTGTCCTCCAAGTAAGTCCCACTGTTTGTATTCACGTCCACACCTCTTATCTGGAGGTGTCGAGTTGCGCTGTGGGTGTGAATCGGACACATTCGTGGCAGGCACTGAGATGCACTGGACAAACGACACTCGCATGTAATTGAGACGATAATTACTTGATCTCGTTTCAGTGTTGCACGCTAGCTGCTGCTGGCAAAGTCGACTTGGTGCGAATCGCACTGGGATGTGTGCACTGGAGAAAGGCACAGTATAATCGTATCATCGAATCGTGCAAGCTGGGCTTCACTACAAAGACATCAACTGCAAACTCACACAGCGTAAGCTGCATTGTGTACATTTCTATGAGATTATGTACTAGTATATCAATGTTGCGAGTAACGTTGCATGGTATTGCTGATCAACTCATAACAGCTATGGGCGTAACCATTGCTACGCAGCGTATAGTGGCACTACCTATAACCTACCTCATACCCAGGCCACTGCTGTAAAAAGTGTATGGTTGACAGGCGTACATGTACTGTAGTACCGAATTAATGCACGGTTCCTGCTTATGAGTCGTACACTACCTTACCAAAGACCAAAAGATACACACGCACACCCGAGCAAGCGGACGAGCACACACGCACACATGCACACACACACACACACACACACACACACACACACACACACACAGACACACACACACACACACACACACACACACACACACACACACACACACACACACACACACACACACAGTAATACCAAGACTCCATGAGTCCATAGGGCCCAATAGTACGCAACTCTACACATCCGAAAGGTAAAGTGCGCTGCCCACACTCCGTACTTCAAAGTACAGGTAACGATGAGCAGCTGGCCCACTATTTCAGTGTTGATCTGCTTCAGATTCCCGGTGTCTTCTGTCTAGTATGGGTATTGTAGGCGAGTTCAGCTTTCCAGTTGTGTTCTCTGCTCTGCAATACTTTATCTCTTGCCACACAGAATCATCATGTTCGTCGACCATCACCTTATGGCCAGCACAGGCGCTCCCAAAGAGGTATTGTGTCCTTGTTGCTTAACAATAAAATTAATCTCTTTGCTATGTTCAGATGACCAAGCGACAATGCAGTTATTCTTTCCCCACTGAACTTTTTGATAGGGTGGCTACTGATCTAGTATTGCTGCACGTAAGAGCTATGAGAGGAAGTTCTGTTGCCACTCAGAGGTCCACGTTTTTCACACTCATCAGGCAACTGATGGGTAAAGTCAGGCGCCTGAACATAAAGGGAGAGTGAGGTCTGGGGGGGGGGGGGGGGGGGGAGGAATTGGCAGTGATTTCGCACTTACTACCCACATCTCCATTACATCGCAAGCCCGCCAGCTCTTGCAGCGACACGCCCAGCCAGAGCCATCGCACCCGCCATCGCGCCTGCCACACGTCGCCGCTCGGCAGTCAACCTTGCGCACGAGCTTCAACTCCAGACAGCCCTACCTGCCAGATCGTGCAATGTTGCGCTGCGCTCTTTCCCGGAGTGCCTCATCGAAGCCTGGAATGAACTGCCAGCCACTCTCCTCCGCGATGCACCGTCTGCCAAAGGGATGCTGCAGTTCAAGGTTCAGACCTACCGCTACCTGAAACGGTCGGGTTGGTCATTGGCCACGGACATCGCCCCCTAGGCTACTGCCAGTACGACCCTGTTCATGTTCTCGGAGCACTCCCTTCTCATCAAACTCCCAATCCATCTGTCTTTATCTCTCTCTAACTCTCCTCCATTCTAACTCTAATCTTTCGTCAAATCTGCACGGCAATCAGCCTCTACTTTCGCCTCAGCATCATGATCTTGATACTGCTATATTTGTACTTGTTTGCGTACTTATTTGCACTCATATCTTGGAATAACAAGTTTCCTGGTTTCCTACCCCCCCCCCCCCCCCTCCTCTCTTTCCTACCCTTAGAGTTCTTGCTCTCCTGCTCCCCTCCCCGCCCTTCCACTCCCCATTTTGTCTCCTTTGGTGCACATGTGCAGCTGTGATGCCGAGACCCTTGGTCGGCTGAGCTTCACAGGTCCCACCCACTCCGTCCTGCTGGATATGTACCATTGTGTCGAGTTCTTCTCCTCATTTTAGTTCATCATGCAGTGAGTGTTCAATAGTAAAAAAAACAAAACAAAAAACAAGTGTGGAAGTCGCACATCAGTAGTCTTAGAGAGCAGAGGAAGCAAGTGCATAGATCATGTAGGATTGCTGTGAGAGGAAGCGAGACATGGGGAATGCATAGTGTGTGCTAAATTATTTCCTATTCTTTCACATCCTGGCCTCGTCCTCCCTTTATGTTCAAGTCACCACGCTTGCCTCAACCAGATGCCTGTGATTGTGAAATATATGTGAAACTATGAGTTACAAGAGAATTTCTCCTCTCCTTGCTGTGTACATCTGAAGGGCGCTTTGGAAAATGATGCTGGATCAATTTTCTTGGTTTTGGAAACAGCCCAAGGCGTTCCCGGCTGGCTTCTGCTATGTGTCTATGTATTGTTGGATCCATTCTGACATGGTCGTTTTTGCAGGGTATACTACTAGCATATACATATCTTTTGGTGTTCACATCGTCTGATGAGTGTTTGTGAACACACATCGTCTGATGAGTGTTTGTGAACACGAAACTCTGAGTTACGAGAAAGATTTTGGTCTCTGTTGTTCTGCCTTGTGTATCTTTTGGTGTTCTGCATTTGTTCAGAGGAAAACTGCACCCCTGAGATTCTATGTGACACTAGCTATCAGCTGTGTCAGTTAACAGAAGTCCCAGTTTTGATTTTACTGCATTTTCGAAGGCAATCATCTACATATCTGTGACTTCTCTGTACCCTATGGCAGGAGGGCGTCAAGTTTGATGCGTATAGCACAAGTTACGAGATGGGTCACGGCCACCATGGTCTAAACCCACGGTCACCACCAAGGCAGAAGGATACTGGTTACTCCAGCAATTTCAGACCAGGCGTGTACTATCGGCCAGAGCTTGACCAGATGGACAACCCATCGTTCGTGTAAGTGGCATTCTAGCAAATAGACCGGGTGTACAATGGCTAACAACGTACAATGTGTGCACAAACCCGCGTGATGAATGAGTCGTTTGCAGTCTCTTTAGATCTGCAAAGCACCAGAGTACTATTGGAAGCATCGCTTGTCCGGAAAATATGTACTGATGACATCACAATGGTATTGTGCATGTAGTCTACGAGTCCTTCCTGGGAGTGAAACGGTTTTTCCAGCCGCGCTGCGACCCACAGTGAATTAGGACCCTCGTCTATAGTCAGTACTGGCCTAACCAGTGCACTGAAAGTTTGGTTGAGCCCTCATCAATCAGTGTATTTTGAATCCATCTCTCCAGACTCAGAGTCTATTGCATGCCAAGTTAAGTACTGCGGGGCCACCGGTTGGGGTCTACCCTGCTACAACTATCCCTATTTATCAGAATATGAAAGAAACAAGAATTTGTAACTTTGTGCTGGATGGCCTTTGCTCCTGTGCCTAAGAAAGTAACCAATATACATGCCAGAAGAAGCATTCAAAAGCATCGGTTCGTATGAAAGTTTTTCTTTAAAGTAATAACACGTCTCTAACTCAACTTTCAGGTCTGAAGCAAATGTTTCGCTATGCAAGTTGACAAAATTCCAGGGAAGCATGTGCATTCACATTGCAAGTCAGGTCGACAACATTGAAGGGATGGTTTGAATTTGAATTTTTGAATTTTGTGCTTTGAAATACATTCACTGCTGGGTTTCTTTCCTGCAGCCCTGTCATTGCTGAGGCTCACAGCAGAAAGACAATGATGCAGAACCACTATCCTCCACTGATTCCCGGTGACGATGGAAGGAGTGCTCCACCAGTGTTAGTGCCATCGGACGTACCGCACAACATGAGTGCATTTGGCAAGCAGGGTGCACCCTACACCCTGCCTCTTGAGAGTGAGGTAAGGAATGAGGCTTGTACATGTATGAACAGTGAGGGTTAAGACCACTGTCGATCGTTCAGGCATGTCCTTGTTGGAGGTGGCTGTTATAGAAAGCTCGATCATAATTTGACCCTTGCTTATAGCCAAGATGTGCTAAAACTTTGCAGCAATACTGTGTATTCCCTGCCAGGACGGTTAAATTATGTGAAATTCCCCTCACCATAATTTGCTTCTGTGAACATGCATCGATGTGTCTGTAACTGCCAAGCAGCCTAATGGTAATGCTCTGCAGGACCATGCTGCCTGCTTGTAGCGACGTGTGGTACAGGTTTGAATGATTTTTTTGTTATTATTTTTTTACATTGGAAGCTCAACAGTGCAGCTGCACAAATATGAAGAGGACAATGGGACCAAAAAAATATATCATGTGCACAATCCTTTCGAGTGGATCTTGAAATTCCCGAATTTCACTCAGTTCTGCCTTCACTACTTTGCACATACAGTATCCATACACACAGTTGCTATAAACAGAACACCGTCTTGTTTCTTCTTTCCCTGAGTGTTTGTGTCAATGTCACACATTGTCTGTCACTCCTCACTTCCCCACTTGCAGGGACGGCGCTATTATGCCACCGAACGCTCTAGGGGTTCCTTCACAATCCCGGTGAAGACGGACGATCACTTGAAGACGTTGACGGTTCGTCGTGACCCCGTTGAATCGGAGAACAGCCATCATGTACGGGTATCCAATGCACTGGGCATTAGTACTGTGATGTTTTGTAGGTATTAGTACTGTGATGTGCAGGGCATTAGTACTGTGATGTGCAGGGCATTAGTACTGTGATGTTTTGTGTGACAATGTTGTGCATCAAGGCATCAGTCAACAGTGGCCCAACTGTAGACTAGAGAGTCTACAGGCAGTGCACTGTCACGCTTTGCATAGTCAGTTGAGTGTAAAAGCAGTACAGCACACCTAGCCACCATTGATTGGCACTTGCTCATGCAGGAGCTACTTGTAACCTCTATAGCTGGACAGGTACAGCAGAGCATCGATAATCCGAACACTTCAGGTAGGCGCTGTTCAGAAGTGGTTAGTACGAGGGAAATGTTTTGAGAGAGTCACAGATACGTGTCCAGTACAAGGCTCATACAGTTTCATCATCGACAATTTGTTCAATTACATGCTCACATACTAGTATTTCTACCATGCACTGACGGTCATGCAAGCAACGTCCAAGCCACTCCGGATGATAGATCGTCCGGGTACTTGTAGTCAATGTCTGGATAATCGATGCTCTGCTGTGCATTGATATTGTGCCAGAACCACCGGCCTATACATGATAATCGATGCTCTGCTGCTGTACATTGATCATAGTATTGTGCCAGCAGAACCACTGGCCTATACATGGAAACACCGTGTGGCTACTGTGGCTACTGTGGCTAATGCGGCTACCGGAGCTATGTACAGTAGCAATATTTCTGGTACAGGTTTCAAATGTGGAATTTTCAGACATGCTATGTGTAAAGACTACTCGCACCTTTCATGCAAGTGTGAGACGAGCGCTAAACGAATGCTCGTTCATTGCCTGGATTCATAAGATTGACGCAGAGGACCTCAGTCACCACTCTGAATGGAGTTTTGTCCAGTACTCGTTCTTTTGCAGAGTGTGACACTTGTGTCAACTTGCCCCCATGTGTTACTAGTGCTGACCATTCCTCAAGTAATGTGGATTCACAGGAAGCGTGAGTTTCAAAGTCTGAAGAAAATGTTGGATGGTCTCTTCCGGGATGACAGCTACACTACAGCCAAGTGGTTAGATCATCGCTGGCCTCCAGCGACGGTTCGAGTCCTGGCAGTGACAGTCAATTCCATCTTCTGGCTTTTCCCGTTTGCATCTTTTCCCTCAAACCAATGAATATTCCTCAAGTACTAAGTTGCGACGTGTTGATTTTCTGTTTTCGGCAGGGTCCTGCATACATGAGCACTGAAATGGGAACACGATATCAAGGAAGACCTACCGGTCGAAGTAAGAGTGCAATCATGTGTTCCCATGTACTGGCATACATAGGGCAAGGCCACTGTAATTAAGTTAACAGAGGTTCTGAAATGGAAGATATCGGAAATAATCATGCTTGCAGCTGTGGAAGTGGATCGAAAATTCGCAAGATGAACTTGTTCTAAATGAATCATCAAGAATGGATGATGTACTGATGAACATTGCGTGTAGGTGTGTGTGTGTGCAGAAGACATGACTGGAAAAGTGTATTTCACCTCCCTCTGGAGCTGGTGATGACGCTATTGATTTTGTTATGTTCAGGGTGCTCCCGAAATCCATGGTATTATTTGCTGTGTAGCAGAAAGCAACTTCTGGCAGGGCCACTCATTGCAGCCTTGTTTCCAACCAGTTACCTGCTCTGCATTGTATATAGAAAGTGCATTGTTGTTATCTCTGTTGTCGTCGTGGTATTCAGAGTACTCTGCTTTGCTGTCTCACCGTGAACTTTTCTTTTATATGTGCTTCTTCAATTCTATGTTTCAACAGTGAATGTCAATCAGAAATCAGTTGGCAAGTACACAGAGAGTGGCTGGACAAAATCACAGAACCTTGAGCCTGTGACGTTCCGAGCCGATGACCCATTCTCTACATTAACTGCCAGGGTGAGCTGCAGACGCAACGCAGAAGTGGCAATGCACCTGCTGAACCCGCTCAATTTATCGTACAGTGATTTTCACAGTGCACGCGATCTTGAAAATTCTCCAATCTGGTTGTGTTTCTCAACACAATCGTAAGCCGGTGGTAACGCGGATCAGGGGCATAGAAAGCAGATTTCCAATGGTCCGGAGGATTTTTAGCTCGTGCAGGTCGCAATGTTTTTTCATTTTCAACTCTGCCCACTATGACTACTACAGTATTCACTTAGTCTTGAGGGTTAGACATGGGGAAGTTGCCATACAGGGCTGGGTTAGACATGGGGAAGTTGCCATATAGGGGTGGTGAGCCCGCCTTTCGGCACTGGGAACACAGCTCACTCGACTGTGTCTCTACTGAGTGAAGAGGGCGACTTTACTTGTAAAATGATTGATATGAACAAATACTGTGGTATCATGGAAGACTTGAGGTTATACTACAGCTCTAGTATACATGTACTCCTGAAGTGCATGCAGAAGCAAGTACATAATGTATGTACTTGAATTGACAAAATTCCGCTTAAAACTGTCCGAATTGGGAGAGCTGATGCTCACTTTCCCGGACAAATTTCACTGGCCTATACTGTAGTGATATCACCTAGTCGAGCAGTTCAAGGTGTCCTGATCAGTGGCCTCGGAGGAGCCGATTTACAAGTTGCCTGGTATATTTAGCCATACTGTACCCGAAGCCTCTGCCCGCCGTGTACTTTCTTCTAATGATTGTGTGCTTGTTCTGTCACTGTGCAGAGGCAGTATGAGACAAGGCCCATCGGTAGGTCAACATTTAAAACGGACTATATTACGCCAGGGCCCAGGATTAGGGTAAGTCAATCTATTTAGAGGCCACACACAATCTCCACACAACCATGCAGTAGCTGTCTACATACACACCACCATGCAGTACTGAGCTGTCTACATACTTCAGAAGCATCAAGTAGAGCAGATAACATCTGATCTTGCTACTCAGTCGTATGTTTCCATGCACATGACTGATCACGGCAAGAGTACATAACCCCCCAGAGTGTGCAACGCCTGATCCAGCTCTGCATAGGGTCTTGGTCGAGCGGAATCGGATCTTCTGATGTCATGCGTACACTCCACACCAGCGCAAGGCCGGTCTCGAGGCAGGGTACCGTTGTTTTTGATCCGAGAGTACCCGCGACTCCCCGGGTTCCCCTCAGATGTGTACGGTATAATGACGCAAAGATCCGATTACGCTCGACCAAGACCCTATGCAGAGCTGGATCAGGCGTTGCACACCCTAGGGGTTACTGTAAGACATGTATATATAACGAGGAAGCAAATCTAACGTTTTAACGGATGACATTTCTTCGTTATAATAAGATCCGTTGAGGCCGTACTGCTTCATATATGCTGTGTGTGGATATGGCAGAATACTGCAAGATCGTTAACATATCTTCTCGTTAACCTATGAATTTTGGACAATCGTTAAATTTGCGACTCGTTATAATAACATGTCTTACAGTACGTACTCTTGATCACGGTGATGCAACACCAAGATAGATACGGTTTTTTGGAGACTCCTAGACTGGATTTTCTGCACCCATAGGAACGCCACCTCCGCCAAAGATCTATTGAGTCTAGCGAACCATTTGACTACCGAACCCGTGTACACATCAGGGCTCTAGCCAAAGGGGGTAGGGGGCGCACAGGGCCCCCCGCCCCTTTGAAAAAGTGCCCCCCCCCCCCACTCATTTCCGATTTTCGTGTTTTTCATGTAATTCAACGAAAATGCAGTCGATAGTCGCTATTAGATGGTTCATGAAGGCACATTTGTCTGGGGCGAAGTCGGGGATTCTCCCCATACATTGCATTTAGACATTTGCTAGAGATGGCTAGAACTTCTTTTTGTTTAACTGGTCAAAAACTCCTCTTGTACGGGCAAAATAAACACAATTACGAGTGCAACCTCGGCCTCAACAGCACCAGAAGAAAAACGAGCAAACATGGCTGTGAAAACAGTGGCTAGAACCGTGTACACATGGTACAATTACTAAAGACACTTAGTGTTTCCTATAATCACACAGGATCTAGCCATGTGTACATGTATGAACATGCAGCATTCTAGCTCTTTAGCTGTTCACACCCAAAGAAGATCTCACCGTAAATTGACTATCCGAGTACACCACCATTGCGCTCTGCGGCTTCCCAAACACACTATTTCCACAACAGCAAGCAGTTAGATTAGCTGATCACCTCCTTCTATACAAAACAGACTTAAAAACAGACTTGTTATGTCATATCGGAGCTCTCCAGTTTTTAGGTTTCCTATCGTACATGGGCTGCATCTGGACTCTATCTGTTGCTGTGTTTCCCCAGGGTACAGAGGATATGCCGGCATTGCAGCTTGCAGGCAATGAATACCATGACACAGGGTTCACTCGCGGTGGTGACACTAGCGCAAACCTGCAGCGGCGACGCACTCGTAGTGTAAGTTGATAGTCTACAGAGTGGACAATTCATCGTTACAGTTGAATGTGTTCCGGACGGGCATTCAACCGTTTCACGTAACTTTGTACCAGCTTATCTACAGTACTGTCGGCCGCAGAAGAACTGACGGGGCATCCTCGTAGCCTAGACCGTTCTTATTTTCATGTCCTACAGACTATGCACAGTTGAGTCACCGTGAATACATTGGTATGCTGTGCTTGGTGAATTTCTAGCCTGGTTGTTCTTCGACGTCGAACAGTGCTGTAGCTCATGATGATGAACACGCATAGCGAAGGGTCCTGAGCTTGCTCTCTCGTTTTCAAGTTCTATGCTCTAGATAGGACACTGATTTTGAGCCGCTGTCATTCATGGGTGTGTCCAGTGCTCCCCTGATTTCATCCGTTTGTGCCCCCGCTCTCAGGCATACGAACCACTGGACACGCTGCCATCATTCACCCAGGAACGCATGAAGAAGGATCCAGCTGCACTGATGAACAGTACCTTCCCTAGCAATGATTCAAGGTGAGCTCTAGTCTGAGCAAACTGCCTTTGTACACTGAACATTAAGCCAGAATAATATTTATGTGAAAGTATTCTGATAAAGGGCATAGAAGGGATACACTTCATGGATTAGACGGACAGCTGGTACTATGGAATGCATTCCTGTTTTTTGTTTCGTTTCCTACGACACCCTCACATATTGGCTTCTATGGTCAAAGACATCACAGGCAGGTTGATTGTGTTAGCAATGTTTTTTAACAGTACATCACTGATCAGTAAGTCAACACCACGTGTGCATCTAAAGTGGATGCCACTGTCACACTAGCCGTGTGCCAATAGACCTGACAAGACAACCCGTTAGCGTCATCATGGGCACCCCAGGGGCTATAATGCAGCAGCGGTTAGAAGCCATGGTTCAGACGAGGAAAAATGGTTTCCGTTTGAGCGAAGGATTATAAAGCGGCATTGGCTTAATTAAAACATGATTTATTTGCTATCAGTCGTTAGAAGTAACATGTAGGTGATGATTTCCATGATCCCTGCTCTGATTATGTTAGTCTACATTCCTTTGATCAAACATGTAGTGTTATGAAGAACTGTTATGAAGGCTTGCCTGAGCTTGCCAGGATGGATCGTCATATTGGAGTTGCCCCAACAATAAGCCGACTGGTAAGGGAATACCATGGTTTTGTTCATCTATGCATGTATCCTTGAATTGATACCAGCCAATCATGGATAATCTATTGCGAGTACGTAGAAGTTGATCAAAATCGATTCTGGATAGGTTCAGACTACTCGTGCGTGTCAATGAGTGGCATGAATCGATTCACTAATGTAAATGATCCTGGAGCCAATTTATTAGCATGTAATGTGTTGATGATGAACATTGTTGGTTTGTAAAGTCCACTATGATTATGATCTTCTACTGGTTGGAACCCTGGATCTGCTCCTGGCTAGTCTTTCCATGAAATGGCAGAGGAAACAAGAGCAACTGTTGGATGAACAGTATAACTTAAAACACATGTGAGACGGTTGACAATAGAGAGGTCCCGCATAACGTAATTACGATAGTAAAAAACGAAATCGATCTACGGAAAGTCTTACATAGCTTTTTTAACACCTACCTGCCCCTGGCAACTCGGAGCGCAGCCGTGTACGACCTGGTCAACCGGGGGAGAGCGTCATAAATTGGCACCCCAATCCACTTATGGAGCACCTACGTTATCAGAGCCGTATCTACGTACTCTCCGTAGACAACTTTCCGTAAGTGGAGTGCAAACTCGCGAATTCACGGGTTTTCCCACCCACTAAAGTAAAGTTCCTCAACGTTACGTAGTGCGGAACCTCTCTACTGTCAAGAGTTGTTGCAGTTTACCCTTCTTGTTTTGATTCTGCACGCGAGTTGTACGTTACAGAACATGTTATCGAAATCTCCTGTTTGTATGATTTTCTGGCTGGCTTTCAGGAGACGTCGGGCGATGTTTGGAACAACGAGAAGTACCTGGCACCAGGACATGAACCACAGGCATTCTACACAACTCAATATGCAACAAGGTAAGCATGCCCAGTGGCAATGCTGTCTCTCATCAATGTGAATAGAATCAAGAGTACATTACCCCCAAGAGTGTGCAACTCCAGCTATGGGGTCTGCGACGGCAGAGCTTCACATCACGTGATGAACTCGTACACATTACTTGCACCATGTGCATGATAGATACAGGGTCGTACGTAACACTGCTTTGGGTTCAACTCTCTTGTGGTCACTTTGCACTGTTTGCAAGGTAACATTTTGAACCATGCCATGTGATGTGAGGTTCTGTCATTTGCAACGTGACTGGATAGAGGTTGTGCAGGCAGTTAGGCAGTTGCACACTCTTGGGGGTTACATGTAATCTTCATAACATCTATATTATAGCTTAGTACTGTAGCTCAGTATGTAGTATCGGGATGATTATCTCTGCCAGCTGCTGGTGTTGTATCTGCCCTGCGGATTTCTGGGCTTCCAGTATGATAGGGCAGCCTTGATCAGCCTTGATCAGCCTTCATTAGCCTGGATCGCACCCGCTGACTAGGCTTTTCTGAGTGCTGATTGTTGTGATAAACCCGTGGAGCACGAATGCCTAGCCTAAGGAACCCGTGAAGCACAAAGGCCTAGCCTGAGGATTATTTCAGTACGCCCTTCGAACTGTTATACTGACAACCAAATTCACACCATTGCAATTCTTTAGACCCGAGTCTGTGAACGTGTTCTATGCTGTGTGTCCTATCAACTTGATTCCTGATCTTCCTGTATTGCACATCTTTGCTAGGTTTTACGACAAGAATCCCACGGGAGTGGAGAGACAGGGATTTGTTGGAGGCAATGCACTGCCAGGTGTCTGGGACGCCTTCAGCAAGAGCAACCGCGTGCACAGCAACGTGAACGGTCCAGAACGGGACAACCAGAAGCAGCTCAGTACAGTACATCCGTACGTTGCCAGGTAAGTCAGACACGGTTATTTCATAAGCAGACTGCCACCAGCATACATACCGCATTCTTTTCTGAGTGGTTAAGCATATGGGAATTTCATACAGGAAGAGTGTGCCACAATGCTCAGTAACAGTAGTCTAGTTTAGAAATTATTGCAGGACTCATTTGTCAATTGAGTGACCGTCTCGTTGTCTATTTTGCTTTTTTCCGTGCACAGGAGTATAATGAAGCGGGACCCGTTCTTTCTGAGTGATCCCCACGCACACAAAGTCAAGGCATGACCACAATCTCTGGCATAGATCAGCATTGCAGCCTGTCCTCTCATTACAATGTACATTTGCTGTCCTCTCAATGCAATGTCATGTCAACTCTTTCCACTATCTACAGCATGGCCACTGTAATGTTATTGTAGTGTGAAGTTCCGAGCAAGATGCGAGCAAAGTAGGTGCGAGTGCCCTGAGTGAGTGGTCTACTGTGCGCTCTACTGTGCGTATGTTGTGCATGCTCTAAGCGTGCAGTTAGTAGCACAGTGAGTAATGTGGTAGTATACATATGTTGTGCATTAGTAGCTACTGTGCATATGTTGTGCATGCTCTAAGCACACCTAGTATCACAATGAGCACTGTAGCACTATGCTCAGGACTGTAGCCAGGAATTCTTCTTCAGGGAGTAGGTGTTTTAATCTTTCCCACTTTAGTCAACTGTAACTAATAATAAAGGTTCGCAAATCCGCCACCTTGCTCTTGCAACATAGTTGAATGTCCATCACCATCTTCATCCATGATGGGAAGCTCCCATTCTATTAGTACAATGTAGATCTCTGTGCATAGTGGATACGCTCAAATATTGATGGTGAAATGGAGCGCTGGAAGGAAAATTACAACAAACTAACTCTCCTCCTCCATGCGCTCTAAAGCCGACCATTGCTACCCTCGGTAGCCATTGCTCACACCAATAATGTCACACAACGAAGGGGTCACGGGTAAAAAAATTCCTTCTGACAGCTGTTTCGCCTTTCAAAGGCTCGTCAGAGAAGGTGATACCGGTATTGTAATTGACATGGCATATATTTTATACGGTATATTATGTGAGCAAGAAACTAGACAGCCGAATGGTGCCGTTCACAGATTTATTGGAAGGAACATTGTTGGTAAATATAGATGAAATATCTACAAAATATAATATAGCTTTGTGTCGAATACTACTGTAGTTTTAGTTCTTGGGCTGGTAATGACGTCAAAATAAAATTTGGATTGATGCAAGTAAAACAGTGATCGTAAAGAAGTGTCTTCTTCGTTCCTACTATAGTGATGTAAAGGTCAAATACGAAATTGGAATAAATCTAGGAAAAAGAATATACTTTGAAAGTAGAACTGGATGGCTACAAAAGAGAAATCGATTCTGGAACAAATTTAATAATAGAATTGAAATTCGGGCAAGCTTTTGCTGGTGATGATGAACAGTGCTGTGGCATCCTGGGTACGAATAGTAACACATGTGCTGTGTGCATCAGTGTGCGTGTGTGTGTGTGTGTGTGTGTGTGGTGTGTGCGTGTGTGTGTGTGTGTGTGCACGCGCGCGTGCTCACATGTGCTTTTGCATATGTGAGGTGCCTCGTAGAGGAGATCTGGAAGTAGACGCTAAGCTGTGGAATTGCCGTAAAGCAGTGGACAGCAGCGCATGCCACCCCATGATTCAGAGGCACAGAGGACGCCGACTCCATGCAAGCCCATACACAATAATCAGAAGGTTGAAATTAGCACAATGGCCGACCGCCGTAGATAATCATTTCCAGACAGCTTAAGACCTGGCATTGAAAAATGAGTGGCGGAACATAGGAACTCCCAACTCTTACCGTTCGGAGCTGACTCATGAATCCATGTACTGTCACAGAGTGAGGATCGGTGCATTTCAACGTATCACAAACCATCGGTGAACCATAGTAGCGGGGTGATGCTCCATGCAGTGGTGACTGTTAGGCAGCTTTACACTGTTGCATTATTTGCACATGTGCACTGATTCTGATTATGTGTGTGTTTACCTACACATGCACTTGGTGGCAATAGATCTTTCTTGTTGCTCGCCTTCTCTTGTCTACCCCATGATACTATTGAGCCTTGTTTGTCCTGCCTGATCTGAAACGTGTAGTACTCAACAATAGTCCCAGGACATAAGAGTGACCTTGCTTCATTTATAGACGAGCTCTAGTTTGGTCTACCGCCAAAGATTGGCATGCAGGAAAATTTACAGAGAAAGAGAAGGATGTGCGCCGAATTGATCAGTATGGATTTAACGGGGTTCCGTCTGTTTACGTCGTACACGAGGAACTGGTTGTTGCTGCTGCCTGGGTGCCTGCTGCTGTAGCTGCTGCTGTTCTTGCTGTTGTTCATGACTATGATGTTGCTGTTGCTGGGGTTGATGCTGGTGCGGTGGTTGCGGCGGTGTAAGTGGCTTGCCACCTGGGCTAGGAGTAGCCAATGCAGCACGACTGTCAGCGTGTGTGTTTGCTGTGGTGGAGCATGGATCTGCCGAGGCCAAGCATCCACTCACACTGTAGTGGAAACCTGGCTCCATAGGTTCTTGCTTGAGTAGATCTGCAGGGAGAATGGTAAACAAAATTCCATCATTTGCACCTGACAATACCAAGACCTATGATTGTAATCTACCCGCTATAGTTGCTCATTACCAGTCCATGATCTTCTCACCTGCATTGTTTGAGTCTGAAGTCTTGATCGCGAGGATGGCGGCCCAGTTACAGATGCGGCTTTTCAGTCCAACTCCCACATGACCCGTCAAGGTCAGTTTCACTACATGCAGGCAAACATTCATATGCCTTCCTTCGTAGCTACATGGAGCTCGGTGAGACATACATATGTAGCCACTTTTGCAGTCTGGGAACACCATGTGGCAACTGGTTGCTTACTCGCATGCAGTAAACCAACAGGGCCCTGAACAGATCTCCCCACTGTGCATGGGACAGATCTCTCTTTCCACAAAACAGACTACAAACACTTTCTCAGCATTGCATAAGGAGAGATTCTGACATGCTACACCAGAAACGCTGAATAGAACATCGGAACTTCTCCTTCTTTAGAAAAAAAGAGAAATATTGGGAGATGTGCTCAAAACAGTGGCGCCGGCAAAGCAATGGTCCTGTAGCCTATATTGCGTACATGTGTATTGCTACGGCTTGCTTGGTTGGTTGCATGCATGTGCCACATGATCACACATGTGAGCAGCTGTACGTCTTATGCAGCAGTGTGCATGTTTAGAGGACTCTATCAGGTTGTGACATAATCACTCTATCAGGTTGTGACATAATAACTCTATCAGGTTGTGACATAATCACTCTATCAGGTTGTGACATAATCACTCTATCAGGTTGTGACATAATCACTCTATCAGGTTGTGACATAATCACACTATCAGGTTGTGATATAATCACACTATCAGGTTGTGACATAATCACTCCATCAGGTTGTGACATAATCACTCTATCAGGTTGTGACATAATCACTCTATCAGGTTGTGACATAATCACTCTATCAGGTTGTGACATAATCACAGACAAGGACTGGCTTTAGTACCCTGTATACGCACTGTACCGGAGTGCACATCCGGCGGACACTTTCATGCATATACACTGAGCATGGATTGCCCATAACAAGGGACCACGAGTGCAAACTCTCTCTCTCTCTCTCTCTCTCTCTCTCTCTCTCTCTCTCTCTCTCTCTCTCTCTCTCTCTCTCTCTCTCTCTCTCTCTCTCTCTCTCTCTCTCTCTCTCTCTCTCTCTCTCTCTCTCTCTCTCTCTCTCTCTCTCTCTCTCTCTCTCTCTCTCTTTAGAAGGTTATGTACATGATTGCAGATGATTCACTTGTATTACTTGAACATAACCTGTAGCTAGCCGGTGCAGGCTGTCGTAATAAAACGACTCATCCGTGTTCCATTCCCGTGCATGGTACAGTGCGTATCGGTTATAGCGTGGTCGTGTAAAAGAATATACTGCCTACAAGAATGAACTCTCATGTTTTCATAATCATAACATGGATTTCAAGTGCACATTTATTCTTACAAGCAATTTTATCCCATAGTGGAATATATCGGTCCTAAGAATGGACTTTTTGTAGCGAAACATGCCAGATTAGTACAAAGTGTATCGCATGTAGTAATAACATCTGTCCAATGCCATTCTGATGTGACTCTCGTTGCGTCGTAGTGCTGCAGATTCAACTGTTGTGGCCATGTAACTCATTTTGCATGGCCACATGGTAAGCCTATGGGACTATGACCAGCCACATGTACAGAAGTACTGCGTTGCATGTACGATGATCTTCCTGCCCCTGCGCACATGCATATGATATGCCACACTTGATTTATCGTGTGTAAGAAATATCGGAAATAAGAACAGAAAGTCGTTTTTCAAACACCCACGCTATAACCGATACCTACTGTACATGCATGGTGCGACGGCACAATGACAGCTGTCGCAAATCACACTGAGTATTACACGTGTTTTTTGGTGATTCCTGGTTAGCTGCTAGCTTTTCCCTACTCGAAGTTGTTGCCGCCGCGAAATCTGGGGGTTTGTGTTCGTCCTGGCGAAAACCGTGTTTTGATCCGTTGAGGGAGACGAGAGATACAGTGCGAAGACGTACGATCTGTCCGAGAATCGGCGAAGAAGAAAGCTTCGCAGACTACCCGTAGTGGTTGGGAACAGAATGGAACATATACCAGTCGATGCCTGTCATGGTAGGGATGACTGCTACGAAGTTTTAGCCCCATGCTCCCCAGCGCTTTTTAGCGCCCGACGATAATTACCAAATTTCATCGATTTTCCATGTGGATCAAAGCATAGTCTCCTCAATCTTCTCCAGTCGAGCAGAGTCTGGACGCTACAATGTCGAGACGCGAAAAGAGAACATGCATGAACACACAGGAGCATCACATGCAGCTGCATTCTGCCTTGACGAAGCTGAGAACAACACCAGCACCACGCATTTGGAAGACATTTCGAAGAAGACGAAGAACTACATACCCGTGTTCAAAAAAAGCCTCTGTACTGCGTGTGTGCATGCAGTATGCATGCATGCATGCGCGAAGAACGGGGTCCGCGGATCAACTTCGTTCAAAAATCATTGTGCCACACGGGTTGTATGATTTGTGTGTGATCATGGTCTTTCTTCTTGACAAACAAAAGTGAAGTTTTTCGATCTTCAAATCGCCATAGCGTCCTTGTCATGACTCCAAATCAGCTGAGACTTTGCAAGAGGAAAGAAAATGCCATGCTGAATCGATTGGTACCATTTTCGAAGGGTTTCCTTGAAAAATAAAATTTAGCCTGCACTGGCTACTGTAGCCTAACAGGCAGCAAGGTGGCAGCAATGGCAATTGTGAGCTAGAGATTTCCATATTTGTTCCCCCATGAGCTGAAGGCAATTGATGCAAGTCCATAACAAGTAACAACACAGGATCGGTGTCCAACCACCTCACCTTTATAGACTTGTGCCAGATCGAGAAGACCAGCGTAATCCAGGGCATGCAACAAGTGAGCAGAACATTCTGTTGACCCGGTGGCCAGCAGCTTCTCCTTAGCCAGTGACAACGTCCGGTGTAGTGCCAAGTGCCCAGATATGCGCTGGTTCACCACATCCCGCTTGAAGCGACTCTCGTCTATTCCCAACTCGACAGCAATGCCCCACAGGCGGAATTCTCTGTCATCTTCGCACAGCAGCTGCGGATTGAGTTGCACGGCTTTGGCAAGACCGTACAGAGTGCGCTCATGAAGTCCATGTGGCACTACTCCTGCATGGCATTGCCAATGGTGAGGTCATGGATGATGTCGTGACAGGAGAGTCAGAGAAAGAGAACATAGAGAATCAGGGAACTAGTGTCAGGTACACGTGATGGACAAATCTACAGCTGCTTCAGACATCATCATGTCACGCCCAACCATTCTCGGATGGATCATCAATGTCAAGTACATGTACGATGCTTTGGGAAAGAATTGAAATCCGGATAAAATCTCTGATCTAGATTTAAAGTACAGTCAAACCTCTTTAGGACGAACATCAAGGGACCGATGATATTTGTTTTCTTCTTATCCATATGTTTTACCCAGTGAATACACAGGGTTTTATCCAGTACAGTTACGAATGCTAGTTCTTCTTAGGCAAACATTTGTCTTATCAGTGTTCTTCCTAACCAGGTTTCACTGTACTTGAAAGTAATACAAATACCATGTGCGAGCTGATGACCCCCCCCCCCCCCCCCCTTCAGATTGAGGCTGCCTACAGCCTACTTACCAGGGGGTGCTGAAGACGAGGCGGTTGACATTATGCTGTGCCGATCTGAAGTGGTAGCTGCCGAAGACATTCTCATAGTGTTTAGCGTTGGTGGAAGTGTGCTGGAGTACGGTGTGTGCTGGAGTGGCCGATAGTCCGTCACAAACCGAGATCTGTCCAGAGGCTGGGTATGCGCTCTACGGGGTGGAGGCACATGACGTGTGGTTCTGACAAACTCCGACTGTAGATCCCTGCGTGGAACATGACCTTGCCCCAAGTGTTCTTCGTAGTAACCCTGAAGTGGGGACCAGCGAGACGGAGTATGAATAAGAGCACACTGCCGTTTGTGTGTTTGCGTGTGTGTGAGTGTGTGTATGTGTTTGTGTGTGTGTGTGTGTGTGTGTGTGTGTGTGTGAGAGTGTGTGTGAGTGTGAGTATGTGTGTATGTGTGTGTGTGTGTGTGTGTGTGTGTGTGTGTGTGTGTGTGTGCGTGCGTGCGTGTGTGTATGTCTGCTGCATTGCACAGGTTACAAGCCCACCTTTTTACCACCTAAAACCCAGCTAAACAGGACAATTACTCCTGGTTAAACCTAAGCTTACTTCAGACTCTTGCGTTGGTTGTTTTGAAGCAGCAGCAGGAGGGGAGTAGTTATGCTGATCATGATAATCACTGATTGCATCTGCTCTCGGCCGGTACAGCTGTTGGCCCAGTGTGATCTTGTTGGTCTTCTCAGAAAAGGCCACTGCGGCTGGAAAGTGGCCATTTCTCGGGCTGCAGGAGCTAGTAGATCTGGTCGCCATTGCTATTGTTCCTCTCTTCCTTCCACAAACACTACCACCTAGGGAAAGGCAAAGAAGAAATAGCAGGAAATTTCTTGCGACACTTTACCCAGATCAAAAAATAATAATGGACTCCTTGCTGCATCTGAAATACAAAACTTCAGTAGAACTATGCGCAATGCAAATCTCAAAAAACATTCATTTCATGAATACAGTATTCCGGCATGAAATCTTGACTGGCCCTTATTACAGCGCATGCTCAATAGATCGCTCGCTCAGATGCGTCACTGCTAGAATCATGACCGAACTGTGCTAGCAATGCTAATCACATTGTGTTCAGTAATGTCGACCCACTTCCAGGGCCGCCGGAACCGGGCAGGCTGGGTCGGCCATGGCCGGACCACTTTCCCAGCTGGATGATCCATGTGATTCGTGCAAAACAGATCTAAAAAAACTCAGAGGTACATGACTGTACTGTCGACATGTCATTTGCTTCGAAGTAGCTCAGGACTCCATGACGAGTTCTGCAGCATGACCCCAGGAGCTCACCTTCCACCAAAGTAACCACCAATCACTCCTATCCAAAATGCATGCACTAGTCTCCATTGGAAACGAGCGAAAACACCGCACAAGACAGAGGAGACCCGATCGAAAGAGATAAGATCGAGGAAGCCGAGAAAAATAATAGTTCATTCGATAAGCTGGGTAAGCCCATGCAGGGTGTACGCACGCGTGCACGACATGCATGCAGAATGTACACCAGGCCGTGCCAGGGACTGAGGCGCTAGGTCCTGGGAGGGAGTCGATCGCATACACGAAGAAGTCGACACGGGATCATAGCTACTAAAGTCTTTATCGATCGTATTTTACCTACTAGTGTTCCTTACGGTGTTCGATGTTCGATCTCTTGGATACTACCATTGTATTGTATTGTATTGCATTGTATTGAATTTATTTTACTTCGGTTGCTCAACAGTAACAATTAATTTACTACTGTTGAGTTCGAAACAGGACGACTGACAACGGGAACAAGTTAGTGGGAACGACATTTATTATAGACGACGAGACAAGAGACCAAGACGAACGAAACGACTACATGGTGATTATTGACGAGTGAGAAAAGAGAGAGAGAGATCAAGTCTGAACGGCAAGATAAAGGGCCTGGGTAGCTATGGCAAATATGGGCGCGCAAGTAGCTACCCAGGCCAACGGAACAAAAGGAGACAAAAGGTGAGTACGAAAGTGCATGCAGGCCAGCTAGAAAAGGTACGGGAGGAGGTACCTAACATACCACCCCTCCATGAAAAAAATCCCGCGTCCTCGCGGAGAGAAAAAAAGGAGAGAAAAAGATTTTAAAAAATGACTGGAGAAAAAAACACACACACACACACACATATTGCACGCGCGCACGGATCTCACGAAAGTGTTTACTAAAAATGCACTACAGATCATTCCTGTACTACTTATAGTGTGTAATAACTATTGGAGTTTGACGAGGAACGTGAATTACTAGTATTTTGCACGGCTAATACAGCCTAGTTACACTTTTGCTAAACATCCAAAAATTAGAGCGTGGCTCACCATGATCGGACCCCTAACTTGGTAATGTTTTACGAACACACGCGCGCGCACACACGACAAAAAAATTCAGGAAAATAAATTTGACGAAGAAGCATACAAAAAAAGAAAGAGAGAAAGGTAGCTGACCTGCATGGCTTGAACGAGACGAGGTGGACATAGACGAGACGAGGTTGGCGTAGGAGAGACGAGACTGACATGGACGAGACGAGGTTGACATAGACGAGACGAATGGTGGTTGATGACGGCTGGGCATGGGATGATCTCAGGGTCGTGGGTTCGATCAATAATCGGGCGCCAATGTTGAGTTCGAAACAGGACGACTGACAACGGGAACAAGTTAGTGGGAACGACATTTATTATAGACGACGAGACAAGAGACCAAGACGAACGAAACGACTACATGGTGATTATTGACGAGTGAGAAAAGAGAGAGAGAGATCAAGTCTGAACGGCAAGATTAAGGGCCTGGGTAGCTATGGCAAATATGGGCGCGCAAGTAGCTACCCAGGCCAACGGAACAAAAGGAGACAAAAGGTGAGTACGAAAGTGCATGCAGGCCAGCTAGAAAAGGTACTGGAGGAGGTACCTAACACTACTATAAAGAGGCCCAAAAACCGATCATAAAGAGATAAACCGATCATAAGGAGATAAAAGGAAAAAAAAAGAAGGAGCAAACCAAGAACTGGATGAAGCGAGAAAAACAACAAAAGGAACAGGAATATCATTTATATAAGCTCTATAACCTCACATGGCAAAAAACCTCTTTGAGTAAAGAAGGTCATGGTATCGTCCTACATCATGGGAGGTAAATACTAGATCATGTATATAAGAGCGGAATTCTGACCTCTTGGTACGATCCCTCACATTGTGCACATTGTGTGGTAGTGCATTCCACAACAGCGCTGCTCTATTTGTGAAAGAATTGCGCCCAGCTCGGTACCTATACAGCTGAATGGGGATGCTTAACTACTGGCAGGCCTTTCGATTATAGCATTGATAAATAAGCCTGATAACCATTACCGGTACTGTGTGGCTTATGGATTTAAAAAAGTTGTGTTTGTGTTCTTTGCCTATGATTTTGTGCATTTTCCAGAGCCTAACGATATGCCCAAATTTGCTCTGTTTCACATAAAATTTCAAAATTTCTCCTGGGGGAGCTCCCATCGACCCCCTGAAAGGGTGCCCCTACCACTCCCAAACTCCTTCCTCCGGCCCTAGACTGCATTTTGTCATGGAATCATTTATGCGGCATTGCAGTGCACATACCCATCTCTCTGCTTATTATCTCCATCCATCTGCTGAGTATGCCCACATTGTCATCAGGTGAAAGGCGGAAGATGCGGTCAGAGGTTTCCACAACCAGACGAGATGGAGTTGAACTTTGGGCTAAGAATAGCATAGAGATAGGTTTTACACACAAACACATGCACACGTACACAAACACACACACACACACAAGATGAAACATGTTTGTACGCATGGCGCACACGCAGCATCGTGACACCCGCACACACGGCGCACACATGCACGCACAAAAACACACAAACACATGAGGAAAGGAGAAGAGTGCACAGTGATTCAATACTGGTTTTCATAGTTGCATATTCCCCAAGTAGAGTATGCAATCTGCATTCCAGTAGAACACACAGGAAGGAAGCAAGAGCACTACTTTCCCGAGCAACACAATGCGTGTAGATGCCATTAATACGATCAAATTTATGCTGACACGAGCAATGGCTAGAAATCAACCAATCTGCATTGATTTCCACGTCATGTCTAACTGCCATGGGTGTGTGCTCCCGGAGGGGAAGGATGTATTGTCTCCCACCACCGCGAATAATTAACAGCCAATCACTTTGCCAGTTTTTTTCTAATTTTAGGGCTAACGTTTGACCAGGGCAAAGAGTTGCACGAACAAGATCACAAGACAAGATCCACTGCAGCTACTTCAGTAATCAAATCCCCAAATCACAAACGTATCCCCCCTTTGGTCTGTTTGTTTCCCAGGTTTAAAATCTTGAATAATTTTTGTTTCAGGATACAGCAGAGAGTACTGTGATGTGATTGAGGACGATGATGGATGACAATGACCACATATCAATGCACTGCATGGCTTTTCAAAGCATGTCACTCCTTCTCGCATCACCTGCGCACTCAGAACCCCTTTGATGAGGCAGTAGATATTCCTCGGTATTTTTTCACCGGAAAGACAGGCTGGCTGTATACTCATCAGCCCTCACTCAGTCCTCATGCGCCTGCCGATAATCCTGCCTCGTAGAAGCTGACTGCCAACGTTCCTAAGTAGTGGTACCCACCAAATATCATGCATTAAGTTGACAATGAGAAATACTGAGTGGAGTGAGCAGCTTACTTACGCTCTGCAGACATTTCCTCAATTATGACATCTGTACTGCCATCAGCTCCGAACGCTATTCTCTTGCGAGCCTGCCCGATTGGTGTCAGGTGCAAGGCAAGAAGATTACATCCCATCTCCTCGGCCTCCAGGACTCGACATGAAACTGCAAACGAACATGCCAGGGTACATCAACAGTTTGGACAATATGCAAGTTAAAGAACCACTGCGCATATGGCCGAACGAGAAAAGCCCGGGAACGGTGTGAATTTCCTTACTTTCTTTCGATGATTCCACAATGGGAGGTAGTTCGCTCTCCCGCACTGGATTTGCTGTTGATTTCAACCGAATCAGTTGGATCCGCATCAGTTGTGGTTTACTGTCTTTGGTGGAGGTCTAAACAACACCGGGGAAGGAAGAATAGTACACACACAGACAGACGGACAGACGGACATGCACATCACCAATAAGAGATAGCTGAAATGGGAGCAATATGTGACACCGACTAATACTGATACAGCTGTTTCCACAAACCCATGCCTGCTGTAAATTGTTGATTAATACATGTATCTATAGAAAAGAAAAAGGACCACGGAACTACAAGTCACGCTATAATGTCCACTAACACCTCCAGTTACTAAAGAATCAGCTCATGCGATATCTTGTAGTTCCTTTGCCCTTTTCTTTTCTATAAATTAATCCTTGGCTCCCCATCCAAATACATGTATCATGATGCAACTAAACAAGACCACAACAATGAACATGGGGTAACATTGAGAATAAGAACCTTTTTAATTAATGGCTCCTTATGCTGTAAATGTACTCCATGTGGAGGGCTTGAGTTCAGAATCCTTCGCCTCAGAAGACTAGCTTGCATTCAGCATTTGTGAACCATTTCTACGTTGCCAACCTATGCCAACACTCCTCTGGATCATATTCAATGTCCTTTCACTTTAAGTTTGCAAGTTGATCGTGGCACCATCACAATGTACACACTAAATTTGCAACAGCATGTTGTCAAATAAAAGCCCATGCTTCACCTTCAAGCAGCCAGAATTACACCATCATGATGGCTTTCAACCTAATTCGGATTTGACCGTGCGGCATGCCACAAACCAAGCTACGTACATGTACCTGTCCCAGAAGTTTCATTTTTCGACCTGACCTTACCCAACATTTTGGCTTGAACAGTCTACTTGCTAGCGGAGCTGGCTTACAGGGTGGTAGCAAGTGGCTTCGCGGGGCCGTCTTGGGCAGCTCCTGAATGGACATGGTATCTTGCAAGAGAATGCGCCGGTGAATAACGATATTCTCCATGCTGGTGGTGCCAATCGATGTGCTCTAGAATGTGTTTAAACATGCATGCGCACAAACCGACATGCATGCATGCCATACATGCAACCGTTCACATAATAATTATACAATATATGTCCGCAGATTGAGTAATGATTATACATGTACATACACAATCATAAACATATGCACAATCATGGGTATGCATACACATACACACATGCATACACATACACACATGCATACATACATACATACATACACACATACATGCACACATACATGCACACATACACACAAGAATACACATATGCACTTGCACATACAGTACAAGCCAGTGTTTAGCGATCATCACTGTCACATATGACAACCTACTTCGCGAGATCGATTATATTTTAGAACCTGCACTATGTACATGAGATAGCATATTGATGCAAAAGGATTGATCAACAGCGGGATGTGTAATCAAATGAAAATTGAAAAGCAAATTTCTCAGCACTGCGCAAAGCTTCGGATCTGGGGACAAAAAAAATAGTTTGATAATGACAGCTACCTATAAGAATTGTAACATGGAAAATGTGGGCACAAGTTATGCTATCAAGACCACCAACTAAACCAGATTTTGCACAGTCAGCACTATCGAGCAGTGCTGAAGCTGACTTTCACGCCGTGGAATGTCTCCGCACTCCTTGTCAGTTTTGTGCTAGACTGTGCACATCTGACTGTTCAAAATCTGGTTTAGTTGGTGGACTCAATCACATATTGTGCCCACATATTTTCCATGTTACAATCATAGTTTTTCCTTGGCTCACTATCTGAGACCTACAAGAATACTTTTAACCTGCTTACAGAAGAATGTATATGTCAGTTCATGCTTGCACTGATTTTGCATGAGACATCACAATTGACTCCACAGCGGAATCTCTGTGGGTGAATGCCAGTTTGGACGATACCCAGTGCCAGACCTCACTGATTGGTGGACATCCAGTTTGGATGCCAGGATATTCGAACTGTAGAGTTTTAAAAACTAGTTTATATTAGGAGAGACAATCCGAACCAAAACATATGACCCGTTTGTTTTCCCATCCTATGCCATCCTGCTACTCTCTTTTGCTCTTACACTTCCCATATCATATGGAAAATGCCTTGAGCTGAAGGTCATGGCAAAATAGCACACCTTCAAAAGGTGTGACAAGAACAGAAAGAACGTACGCTGTCTTCAAATGAAAGCATTGCCAGTTACCGCCAATTGACGATGAGAATGGAGGAAGCGTCCGGCAGTTGTTTTTGAGCTTTCAGCTTCTTATAACCTAGGCTGCATTAGAGCTGGTCATGGATTATCACAATACTCAACATGCAAGTCAAGTTTCAAAGGAACCCAGTATACTTTGAGGCAGATTAGCCTAATATTCCTACCGATGGACCAGCTGGAAGGGAGTATCTAGATCCATGGAACAATCCCCTGATAATCCTCCATGTACATGCAGGCATTTTCACAGCAGAGATAAGAGTATTGGGAGAAAGATTTCTCTAGACAGGTCTTTGATTTCTGAGGCTGACTTCACATGTACAGTAATTTTAATACACTATGATATTCAGAATCTAGCACCAACATTTTCTATAAAGGAAAATATCCATTCACATATTGATGATTTTGCCTCATGCCAGAAGAGCCTGCGGCTTTCCCATGAGGCAAACATGGACATACCACCTGACACATACAGCAAGGCTCACATTGCATCTCGATGAAACAAGCATTCACAAGTGCAAACAATCCAAAGCAGACACACCAGTCTCGTATTTCATAGTAAATCCCACTTGTCTCTTTGAAGGGCTTGAGTAGTGGAGTTCATGAGGAGAGAGGGAGAGTCTCAGAGGGGGAAATGGCCTCAACGATGCCTTTGGGTTTTTTAGAAAAGTACTCAAATATGATATTGTATTTCAAGAGTTGCCCGTTTCAGTTGTTTGCCTCAGCTGGCAAAAGATGACCCTAAAGAACACCATTGAGCTGCTCTCGTTTCTAAGAAACTCATACATCCTGGTATCTACCATTACACAATCATCCACTATTCGAATAGAACATTGTGTTCTCGGTGGATAACAGATGGTGAAGGCCTGTTACCTTCTCCTTGGCCTTTACACACGGATATTCACTCTGTCAGTGCAATCATGATCCCAGTCCAGGTGAACATTTATGATATGTTTCCGGTCACAATCTCCAAAAAGACATTTTTCCAGCAATGTGTAGATTAGGAACATCATTATTTTTACTGAGCCTATTCAGCTAGCAGCACTCTATGCCGAGATGAATTGGCCCATGACTGTACATGTACAGGTATGCATTTTGTGCTATTCCCTGGTGACGTTTTCAAACTTCGTCATCAAATAATAGGTACTAGCTGCCATCCAGCATGGGTCAACAGCACAAGAGCACCCCTCCCCCCCCCCCCCCCTCCATCTCCTGATCCCAAACTGCCAAACTGCCAAAGGTTCACCTGCAACCCTATGCCCAGTAGTTACTACGTACTAATCTACTATAATAATTGGTTTTATTGGTATTATTGGTATTATTGGTATTATTGGTATTACTTCACAGCGACTAGGCGAAAGGTCCATGTTCCTCGAACTGGATTGTATTATTCTATGCGGGGCAATCCCTCAATTACTTCCCCCCCCCCCCCCAAAATTCTCGTCTTCTTGCAACTGACATTATTAGTATTACTTTCAAAACGAATGTTTCCTTCTGTAATCTAGACCTACACTCACCGACCCAGAGCTACTCAAGAGACGCCAAGGCATGAACGATCCATGGTCAGCGGACTCTGAGGAGTGACTTCCACAGATCCAGGGGGATCCTATTTCTCAATGGCGTCATAAAACACAACACTAGGCACCCAATGATGCCACGTGCGAGTACCTTAGAGCTCAGAAAGAAGACGGTAAAACCGTCCTGTATCTGACGTGAATTACCGAACACGCTCGCCAGTATCCAACTATATTTTCGGCAGGGACAATTCAAGTACATCACTTAGGTGAAAAACAGATCATTTTAGCGCCTTAGCGGCCCTTGGAACAGTCCGCGACCATACAAGAGAATCAGATAAACTCCGAAGCAAGATCATCGCGGAACTGTCATTGACTACACGTCTCTCTTTCACTCTCACCCCTATGTCCGCTAGAAATATTCAAGTTACCTGCATACTTTCGTATGCTGACACGTCCACAAATCACAGTAACTTTCACAAACTGACCACCTACCATGATGACGCCCAAGTCGAACCCGTCGTCCATGCCGGCGGCTGCATTCTTTACTTGGAAAGCTCTCACATATCAGCGTTTGCCCGGTCCGCCAATGCCAGGTCCCATAGTCTCACCACAAAGACTACCGGTAATTCCACGGCTACTCGTAAACACTCGTCTTCTTTCTGAGGAAGATTTGTGGCGTTTCCAGGACACTGAGGAATAACAGAGTGTGAGAAGAAGAGCAAGAGAAACATGAGTAGGGGTTTTGGAAGCATCTGCAGAACAGATACGCATGCACGACGGAAAATCCGCACCTGCACTCTGTAGCCTGAGCTCATGAGTGACGGCACGCTACGGCGGGAATAAACACTAGCTTCCGTACCTGCCAGTGGCAAGTACAGTTCTGGCGGGAGACCTGATCCACGTTCGAGTGAACACTGACTCTGTGTGTTGTGCTAGGGTTGCGTATCGCCCGGCGCTGGTCATGTCAGTGCAGTGGATATCTGCCGTACAGCTAAGTGCACGCCGTTGCCACCGGCATCAGGGCCCTGACCTGGGCCGACGAAAGGCTTTTTCCCCACATGAAGTCCGTATCCATGTCCAATGAGTGCGGAATGCAGCGCCAGCGCAAGTGAAGTCATGTCTTTCGTACCGAGCTCCTGTCCTTGGCTTGGAGGTTTAGAGGTAGAGGTCTACACTCTCTCATACCCGCAGTACAGTACGAGACGTTGTGGCCTGAAGCCACACGGTGTTTATCATTATCGCGATATTGGATCTCTGGGACTGGGGGTAGAAGTTGCATTGCAGGAACAGGGAACGCGGGAATAATCAGCCAAGACACCGGCCACGACCAGCACGATTAGTACCAACGAAACATTGCTTTTCCGGATGACAATCCGCTGTCTCTGAACCACGCTTTGCAAGAGGATTTCCAAACTGCAAACTGTGCCTTCATCTTAGCCTCGCTATAACCGGCATTCATAGGCCCGAGGCGAATACTTACTATACACGGTTCCTGCGACTGTGACAGCGCCGAAAACCACTGAACAAGCTGCTCGGAAGTAGGACCCGTGAGTCGTGACACATGGACCGAGTTTAAATCCACCCTCCACACCCAAGTCCAAATCCGGAGTTTACTGATTGTTAGAACGAGACATGATTAAAAACAATGAACAATGATTAAAAATCAGGCCCGGCGGAACAGGTCAGTTTGGTCAGGCCATGACCGGACCAACTTTGTGGCCACCAGCATCATGTGTTCACTGCCGAGGAGGTCATGCCTACCCGCCATATCATACACAAAGTATGAACGGTTAGGGTGTGGCCGGACCGTTCGAAAACTGCTTCCGCCGGTCCTGAAAATAATCATCATTCTACTGTTGTGGACATGGAAATCCGGTCGCATGTCTAGCGGCCCCAGGGCGCTGGCCATGCAGCCGGGGATAAGCGGTAGACTCTACACACGTACACATGCATTTAATATTTATGCGCTGAAGCGGGCTGGTCGCATCGGATCAACATGTGCACTGCACGCAGCGTTCTGTACGCGCTGAGGGCGCCGGCCCCGGTCATCGACTGGATTTCCATGTCCGCTACAGTAGCAACACGTACCATATTCGTGATATTGTAGTGCAAAGAAATCCACTGTCTGCCTCAACCCCCTTCGTAATTGCTGTCCTATACAATATCAGTGTTACGCAGCACTGAGGTCCTAAAACGTGATGTACAGTATTCAAGCCGAAGGAATGAGCAGTAAGCATAGTCAGGGTGCAAGAGAACGAGCATAACAGTCAGCGAATGGGGCCACTGCATGCTACAGCTCAAATTTGAACGGCAACAAGGGACGCCTGAGGAAAAGCAAGGTGAAAAGATTCCTGTGACGCTATGACTACAATGCAGTTTAAATATAAAATGCTGCGAGAAAACTGAAGAACTTGCAATCCTCCGATCCGAACTAGATTGGGGTTGAACCGCGATTACACTAATAGCGATTCCCCTCATCACATGATGAGAGTTAACTAGTGCTTGATCCCTTCTAATGAGATAACAGCAATGGTTCTATTCTATTGCTAGTTACTCGTGCTTGGTGGAAGAAAACCAGCATATTGGTGTGCTCTGGTGTAGAATTGTTGATTCATAGCCAGCAGTGCCATAGCTTGGTTGTAAATCATCTTGTCCAATGCAGGATTGCCAGTCTGGCCTGGTGCAAACGTCTGGGAAAGCTGAGGCGATGCTTGGAGGTGTTGAGGAACAACGGAAAAGATCGGAAGACCTCCGTTAAGCTGCTGTGGTTGCAATTGCTGCTGCTGCGGCTGAGGGGCTGGTACGGCTGGATGTTGCTGAGGGGCTGGCATGGCTGGATGCTGCTGCTGCAATGGTGGAAAGGCAGCAATTGGATACTGCACACACCTCGCAGCTCCTGGATGCATGAACTGTGGTACCGTGGTCGGGGGTGCTGCAGAGCTGGCATTCACTGGAGTCTGCATAACGTTAGCTTGTGACCCTGCCACCATTGGTAGTGATCCTGCTGGAGAGTGTGAAATAGCAGGTTGAACATACCCTGGATGTGATGAAACAGCGCTAGGCAGTCCTACATTACCTGCTACAGCGTTAGCTGTGGAGTAGGCAAGCACCTGTGGTGCTGGTTGAGTATTACCGCCTGTGTTGTCTACTGGTTCCCGATGTGTAACAAATACCACTGAAGAACTGGGCTGATGTGCTGATGTTAATTGCAGCCCTGACACGGACTGAATGTTTGGTGACACTGACTGAATAGCACTTTGATCTTCGGCCGAGGGCGGTTGATGATCAGAGGCAGGAACGTGTTGAGCAGAATTCGACTCCGGCAGTTCAGGTGGGAGATCATCCAAATCATCATCACTATCATCCTGGCTTGAATCCGTATCAATGTTGCCATCTTCCCTGACTTGTCCTGGAGTTGGGTCGTTCCCATCATCATTATCATCGCTGGATGGTTCCGACGAGCTTTGCCTATAATCCTGAAGAAGATTTGTCAGAGCATTAAATGCATTCCTGTCAGAAGGACGGTCCTGGGTTGAAGTTCGCATAGCAGAATTCGGGCTGGTCCCAGATTGTCCCTCGTTTGTAGAGCTAGCTTCCGGTATAACTGGTGATGCAGGGTGTGTAATCCTAGCATCTACCGCTGATCGTTGCGAATCACTGAAGGCAGGTGATATCGCCACGACGGGTGTAACCGGGTGATCGGTATGCCTTGTCTTGCTTCTATCATTGACGCTCCCTGTGTTGAAGCCGAAGTTGCTTCTACTTCTGACCCGCGTAGGATTCCGCGTCCAGCTTAGGGAATGCTTAAACTGCGGTATCGCTAGGCCCATGATCAATGATTCTGTTCTCAAAGAAGGACCGGTCTGGGAAGGAGCTGGTGGAGTCACTTCGTCCGCCGCTTCATTTTCCGCAGCCAGACAAGAGGAGCTGACGAGTTTGGACATTGGTGGAAGTAATGTAGCGATATATTCGCTAGATCCCTTGTCCAGGGGCAGGGGCAGGGGTAGTGGTACGTTTCTCTTCTTGCGTTGTGGCAGGTCTTGATCTAGACCATGTTGCACCTCTTGATATCTCCTTTTCCCGTTATCTTGCCGTGCAGTGCTATCGATTGATGCGACGGTCATTGGAACTGCGTTGCTGTCTGCATCTTCCATACCCACCAGCGCCATATTCGACTGTGAAATTCACTCGGACAGGGGCCATGCTAGCCGATTTCAGCAGCGGTACGTGCGAGTGGCATCTGATGGAAGTGAGAATCGCGGCCAGTTCAGGATTTCAGCGACATGTGTGTGAGAGCACAGAGAGAAAATGAACACAGAGCAAAAATTGTTCTAACAAGGATAAGCATATGGGAGGCGAATATTGCCAGTCAAGAAGGAGACGCTAGCGAGTAAGTTACTAGTTTAATTGGCGTTCAAAGCCTTGAACACAATGATCATCCAAGGAATTTGAAATATCGAAAGTGTGTTTGCTTCTAAAAGTAATATGGTAAGTAGAAACAACAACGATCGCATAAGGGAGTAACAAGGATATAGAAACATTGCCTGCAGGAACAGATTATGAATGAAAAAGACTAAAGAGTCTAACTCGATGGCAATTATATTCGCTATGCTCCGTGTGTCTTGCCAATGTCTTATGGACCCTAACAGTGCCATTGAGCCTAGAGTTGAAGCAACTTGCCTCTTAGTATTCGTGTATGGGCCTGAGAGATAAAGGAGAAACTTACACATCCCGTTTTTTCGTCCTACCGATGGCTGATTCTCAAACGTTTCTGCAATGGCGTTCCTCTGCCAGTCGTAGATCTGTCCTGAAAAAGTAAGTTCATCAGATTGAGCTTGTTTTATACTCGCACCCGATACGTCGGACCTACACGGTACAGTCGGGCGCCGAAGAACACCCAGCCTTGAATGTTATCAAGCACAGCATACCAATGTATACAGGGTGACTCAACTATGCATGGTCAGTAATACACGAAAGTAGAAACGGTCTAGGCTAGGAGGCTGACCCCCCAGTTCTTCGGCGACCGACCGTACTGTACTACTATCGTTAGATTTCCCTTCCATACCGTCCAGAAGCCGGAGCAGCATTACGCACCGAAGTCAGGAGTATTACATGCCTTACTAAGAATGTACTCCCCGAGATTGTTGACAGTACTCATTGTGACGCTTCCGTCTGTCAAGCTCTTCTCAACGGATTGTTGAAAGTTTCTATAGTATTGAATGGCATATTGTACAACTGAAGCACATCACTAGGCAAGCAAGGCTATTTCTATACATTATCCTGATGGCTATACCTGTCAGTGGCTCGCTGAAAGCCTGCCTGTGTTGTGATATATGTACATGTCGTAGCGTTGTGTGTGCGAGCCCATCCAGGTAAAGCACGCTGTTGAAGAAAGCAGTTGATGTGGTGGAAGCCATTCGGCCCGCAGAACTGGAAGCCATGACCAATTCACTCCAATCCTCTTGTAACCATCGTGTCTTGCATCAATGTGGTAATGTTTGAATTACATTTCAAATGAATCATTTTTCATTTTGTTGCAATCACTACTTATCCATGCCGGTTCCTTTTTTCTTCTCCTCCCCTTCTCCCTTCCTTGCCGTGGTTGGCTAACACCCTCTCTCTTTGTATTGGCCGGTGTTCTCACTGTGCTATGAGATGCTGTAATAAAATTAATAAATAAATAAATAAATAATAATCGACGAGGAGACAATAGTCGTAAAATGGCAATAAATAAGATAAATTGTGCACTCATAACAACAGCAAAAATGAAGAAAGTCAAGTTCCATAACGTTTTCTTGTGACTGTCATCAGTGAAACGCCGTCACATAAAAAAAATTAATGTAATAACTAAAACACACACTTATATACATGTAGCTAATATGGTTTCAGGTAGAAATACAGCAGCTAACAAGTACAAAAAGCGAAGTTTGCACCTTTGCAATGTGTGAATATGGTGAATACAGAAAGAAAACGTTGTATCACTCACACTCTTCAAGTAATACACACGCACCATTACATTCATTCACACAGTATCACATTCATCTGCCACTACCTTTCTCACATACACTATATTCACACATTGCAAAGGTGCAAACTTCGCTTTTTGTACTTGTTAGCTGCTGTATTTCTACCTGAAATCATATTAGCTACATGTATATAAGTGTGTGTTTTAGTTATTACATTTTTATGTGACGGCGTTCCACTGATGACAGTCACAAGAAAACGTTATGGAACTTGACTTTCTTCATTTTTGCTGTTGTTATGAGTGCACAATTTATCTTATTTATTGCCATTTTACAAATAAATAATAAATAAATCCGATGGGTTTAGCTCTCTGCATGACACAATTATCATTTCAGTAGTGAAGATGAATTGAATTCATAGGTGGTGTTGATGGTAGGGTCCAGCGGATTCTGCCGGCAGAAAAATTGGCAGAATTCGGTACTTTTTCTGTTAAGTTTCATGCATGTTTGGTATGTGGATAAAGAAATGGAGCAGAATTCGAGGAATTGCCCGCCATAAGGTTTGTATGGTTCTGCCACTTTTACTGCTTTTCGAGCAGAATCTGCCACCTTTTCGAGCAGAATCCGCCGGTCCCTAGTTGATGGTAGTACTGAGGATGTATCCAGTGCCAAGGTTGATCACTGAAGCTGCTTGAACCATTACTAGCCGTAGAAGTGATTGTAAAGTTGGAACATTGCTCAAAACACTGCTGTCTCCGTCGCGCAGTACATGAACTTACTTGTACATTGCCGTATAATTTTTAAATGAACCATTACGTCATGAAGATTAATTCCGGATTCTAAATGCACACTGCATATCGAAAACACCATCAGGACCACCTCTATCATCGAGAAATGATTGGTTTCTGCACGCACTTGCAATGATTTACCTGCTTTACTAGGAAATGGAGAAGACTCACATCTCCATAGCGAAATATAGTGGAATGGCAGTACACTGCATACAATGTATCACTGATGACCCGGTACCCATGGTCATCTTACGTGGGATTTGAAACCACTGTGTGCGTGTGTCCCGTGAGATGGGGAGAATGCAATGCCTACCCCACGTGCCATGTGGTGTAGTGTCATCTTCATCCAATAATAATAAAGACTTCGAAATTTGCAGCCAAGAGCGAACGTCGATAAATTCATATGAAGATGTGACTAGCCTGCAGCCTGTGCCTGGGCACAATACAGAGCACATTTCGACAACTTCCTGCTATAGCTTGCCCGATTTGTCCAGCTTTGCGACATTTTCCGGGAGCAGGAACCACGTACTAAATTTCATGATAGAGTCATGATTGACACATGATTAGTGTTTTGACAGTTGAATTACAAATCCACTACCTCCGTGGACTAGCGCAGGATTTTCTGCGAGTATACTAATCGTGCGGAAACTGTTGATTTCAGTTAATTGCCTGTTGGGAATGCACCAGAACGCTGACGAACGTTGACGCCTTGGCAACCAGGACGCCTGCGATACGAATTCAGATGGGTTTGCTACTTGAAGCAGGGGACAAACACAATGTACTACGTGATTCTGGTTACATATTTTCTGTCTACACCCGACGCAAAGGCGATGAAAGCACTCAGTCTAGAAAATTTATGGAACGTTGCTTTTGAGGAGCCCGATGCTGGTTCTTTATGACTTTAGCCAGACGATAATCAGAATTATTATCCCGTCCAGTCACGTGTGTGGATTGGTTGTCCTACATGTACATGTACGTCACAGCCAGCCCGGAGCCATGGCAATGCTGACTTTTGGATCTACATTATACATGTACAGTCAGTACTTGGATCCGGTGTTTGTATGGATCCGTACACGTCGTTTGGGTGGATTTCCTTCACAGCATCAAAGACAAAGGGCAAAGCGTCGCCTATATTCCGGCATTTTGCGTGAAGGTCCCATTTCAGTAATACCTGCAAGGGCCGATCCAGGGGAGGGGAGGGGTTCCGGGCGTTCCGCGGAACCCGGCCATAAATTTCGCAAATGTACATGTACATGACTGTACTACTGTACATAATAATTGTACATAATTGTACATAATTATCAGCTACTGGTACTCAGTTTGGGCTACACTGGAACCCCCTGTAGAGATCACCGAATCCGCCCCTGACCTGGAGATTCAAGAACTAGAAATGGACAATAGACTCCCGCAATATGAAATGGACAACAAATTCCCGCAATATGCAACGAAACAGTTGTTCGCTCCGCTTCGCACGGCCTCTATTTTACCCTGCTTGAGACTGAGTGCCAGTGGTTGTGAGACTTACCCCCTCACCCCCACCGTTAGGCGCTGAATCTGCCGCTAGGGTTTATCGGGTGTTAGCGGCCGTCGTGAGTTCCCTTCGGGAACGGATACGATTACAGACAACTTCGCTAATAACGACTGCGGATATAACGACAATTCGCGAATAACGACCGAATTTCCATGCCCAGAGCAAAGTCCCATCTAACTGTATACATTTAACTTCGGATATAACGACTATCTGAATAACGACAATTCGCGTATAGCGACATGCTTTTAGTGCCCCGTGGTCATATTCACTGCTTGAATAACGACTTTCTGGGCTTTTGACAGCTATTTCAAGTACCTGTCAGTCAAGTACATGTACCTCTCATGCAGAAGTACCAGAACCTATGGTGATAAAAGGCAGCCAAGGGGGGGGGGCTTTTTTCCTTTTATAATGTTGGCTTCAAAATTGTTGGATTTACCAGCACACCTATATTATGTATACAATGTACATGTAGTTGTACATGATTGTACAGTAATCATCATACATGTACATGTACATGTCTCTGGCCCTGTAGATGGCTCAAAAAGGCATATTTTTCAATTCATTTCCCTTGCATACTGAATTTTTAGTTCCTTGCAACTGCAATATGAAAATAAAGTACACATTGACATAGAGCAAGACAAGAGCTTGATTTTGATATGCATATCATACTATACAAAATATGGGTTCACATACATTCAAATGGGACTTCGGTTATAAGGACACTTCGCGAATAAGGACACTTTTCTGATGCCCCGCCGAATGTCGTTATTGGCGAAGTTGACTGTATTACTTTTTTTTTACTTTAGACTGAGTTTGAGAGGGTATCACACAGCTTGCTTGGCATTGCTTCTAATCATCCCATCATTGCACATCATTGAGCCATTCGGCTGTCCTGTCTTCTTCTTGACAGGTTTGTCAGAAAGCATGTCGTGTTCGGGATTGGCTTGCGGAAAACCGTGCAGTGGCGGCACGCGGTTTTCCGTGTGCATTTTCCTGGTCCTGACCGCAGTTACGCAGTCGCCTCCAGAATTGTACACTGAAGCTTGATACCATTTCAGTCCGTTACGGGTACATTCATCAATATGATAACAGAAGAGAATGACGCCGCGAGCATCTAAGCTTGACACGTGCAGTTCTAGTATTATGCATTTTGTAACTGCTGTTTTCAACGCTGATATGATGGCCATCGCGTGTCAGGATTAGACCTTGACAGATTGACTTGTCACAACCGCTACACAGTCAGAGTATGCAAGAATTTTCCAGCCAGCCGAGCGCTAGCGGTAGACCTGTCAACCGGCGAGAGACAGCGGCAAAAGTACTGCATCGCCATGAGATTCTCTACTCATTTGTGTACAATGCCTGCAATCTTAGCCGCATAGCAGGTCCTGAGGGCACCTTCAAGTGTGGGCTGCAAGTATAATATTGACGATGCTTCATTTCATTCGCTAGTCCTTCCAGGTTCCTTTCTCGCAAACGTGAAGGGAATTCGGGAACGCGTGCCTGCTGTACTGTGTTCTGGTCTCAAAGTGGCAAATCGTGTAATCATAACGGAGCGACGAAAGGATTAGCGACTGCGCTCATAGGAGTTGTGATCGTTGAATTTCATTTTAAGTCGTAACACAAACAGGTGCGAGCAATGAGTACGAGTAAAACATCAGCTCACTGGCTGCAAATCAGAAGCAGCTACGCCCATTGGTACAAGGCCACTGACACTGCTACTGGTCAGGACACGCTCCGAAATGGCCGCCCGTGCTGGGGATTTCAAGTCTCTCCAGGACTGGCTGCGGATTGTGATGGCGAATCGATTACGTCTTCATCGAGTGATAGTTCACAGACCTCAACTAGCAGCACTACTACTACTACTAGTAGTAGTACTACTGCAGCTGCAGCAGCTTGGCAGATTTGGAAAAGCGACCAAGGCAAGAGCAGCGAACGTACAATCGAGCTGAACGTGGTGAACGCAAGGAACAATACAGAAACTGTCATGGATGTGGCATTCAGCCCATGATCAGGCAACTGCATGTACCACAGTACCTATGTTACTGGTGTCGACGCGATGCCTGGCCTTGAGCCGTTGAGCGGATAGGAGACCAAATGGACTGACTTCACTGTACCAAGCAATTCATTTGCAGCAAGAAACAAACTGCCACCATTCACGGCGATCTCTCTTTCTCTGCGGAGAAAGTGCATGAGAACGATCACAAGCCTCTTGCCGCTCGAAACCTGGAGGATAACGTATCGTCATGCCACTGCTGAGACAATACTCGTATGATTGTGTTATTTCAAACGTCCAGGTGATGCAAATACAGTATTAGTTGGGTTTGTATCAATGAAGCTGCAACATGAAGTATCGTCCTAGATGCTATCAAGATAATAGCGACCAGAGGTATTCTCCTTGGATGTGCTGCTGCTGACCGTTTCTGGTATTGTAGAGCTACGGGCGTATTGACGCCTTCACTTCGCTTCAGTACTCTTGGGTAGGCTCTCTCATAACTTGAGCACTTTTGACAATTTTTTTAGGCCTCTTTTGACAATCCATATTAATTACATTACAGCCAATGTGAGCCGCTTTATGGGCCAATGACTATAATTATAAGCTTTTTGAAGACATAGACCGCTTTGCTACACCAAAGTACAATAGTAATATTATTGCACATTGAATGAAAGAAGAACTATGCGCGGAGATACTTCAAAATAGCTATGAATAGGATGAAGGCCGCAGACATCACGCAACTACTTGTTCGACATACGCAATTTTTTTTTTTTTACTGAATACCACAGTACCATCAGATGCTGCACAGCGGGGGCGGTGGCATATTGGATGGAAGTGGGGGCGGGGCAAAAGTAACTCCTCCGACCAAAGGTCTCGGAATCATCGTTACTCCTGTGCGCCGATACATAGGAGAAAAGAAACATGTGCATCCAAGAGGGGAGCACCGTAATCTTGTTACCTTTTTGGCTTTTGCGTTTCCTCTGGTGGTTTTATTGCACTTGTATCATGATGTTATTTCTAACACCTTTCTATTACAGTACTTAACTTAAAAATAATAATAATTATTGTTATGGCTTGTGAATCACATCTTAAAATTTTTAAAGATACCACGCTAATGCCTACTCCGACACTACAAAACGATGCCAACTCTGTATAGTCGAGACGTACCCACATTCTTGCATCAGAGAGAGGAGAGCGTCGCCATGCTGCGAGGATCCTGCTCAGCAAATACAATAGTCGAATACAAAGGCGTGACCTAATATCTCTCGCTAAGCCTTCCGAATCTAAGCATGGTATTCTTTACTTTCGCAAATTCAGCCATACGGCATATATGGCTGCTTCTGTTATTATTATCGGATCTTGGTTGTTCAAGCATTATCAGTTGTCTGATGATTGCCTAATGCCGAGTAAGGGCATGAAACTACTAGTTTTAACGGAGATGCCTGGTGCTCTGTGACTTGTGTGATATGACTTGTGATGTTTGCAACGTTCTCATTGCTACCAGGTACCCATACAGCTTAGAACATTCATGAGGATTTTCTGAATGATTTTAGCGGGAACAAAACTCCCACCTCAGCCCCCTGCTCACACCTCGAAATGGTTTGGAAGTGAAACCCCGGGTATTGGCAGTATATTACAAATACATTTAGTATTGAATCAATGAACCGTGATACATGCTTGGAAAAGCTAGTTTCTTCAAAGTTGTATGTATATGATACACAATCTGCGGACAGAACTGTTTCGTCCTTTGTGGGCCCATCAGCGCAGCACAGAAGAAATGAGGTATATGATACAAACTAACCTTAGATTGATACGTGGAATATATACAATGAACACAAACCTCGGCTTCGCCTCGTTTGTGTTCAGTTTATGTTCCACGTACTGAAGCATAAACAAAAGGGTATTCCGTTGTATACTTAAACCAGCCTCAATTGAGCAATTCTACCTCCAGCTTCAATTCAACTCCCACAAGGCGTTTATATCCAGGTTAAGGTTGAGGTTTATATTGAAAATATAAACTTAAATTCTCTGTTGAAGTTCAAGGGGAGTATGTACATATACGTGTATGGGTGGTACAATACTGCTTTCAATACACTGATACAGGGGTATTAGGGTATTAATTTACGAGAGTAAGCAGCAACTAGTGCACCTATCCGCCATTTGTCGGATTGGAACCTTGTCCGTAACTGGCGACTGGTGAGCATACAGCCTTGGGTAACCACTGTTTGCTTGGGGTGTTTCGATTGGCCCAAACAACACCACATTGCTTCCGATCGCAATCCCTTGGTCCGTGGTAAATGTGTTCAACGAGGATGAGTCGTTGGTCGTTCGAAGTTCCACACCGGTCAGGGCCATTATGTCCTGGCTGTTCCCGGATACAATCAGCATGCTCATTTCTGGACAGACACATCGTATATACATGTAGCCACGATTACATTACAGATACATCATACATCATAGATACAAACAGGTATACACCACTACTCAAAAACAGGGTATTATAGATACAAAGAGAAATCAAAGATTCGACCAAGCATACGTTAAAGGTTTGTTTAGTCCTCTTGATTGGGCTGCAGACTCTTCATGTCATTATGCAGTTACTAAACTACAGTAGAAGCTTTCCCAATGGCTTAGTACTGCTTGCTATACAATGAAGCGATACTCACAAACCTGGCTCTAAAACAACATTGTAACGGTTGTTGGAAGGTCTTATCCATTTAAATATTGTCATAGAAACGATGTTTGCACCTTTCCCTTAAGGTTAAACAAATGAATACCAACAATGGGTAAGACTTTAGTTGCCTAAGGACTGCTCACCTTTTCCTGGAACGTTAACACGACGCAATGTGAAGCCGTATTTATATGGTGAGTCAGCAAATACGTAGACACGGCAGCTGCCAGAGATGTCGGAAATGGTTGCTGTCCATACGCCTCCAGTGTGGGAACCTTCCGGTACCCATGAGACGTAATTACTGGCCAATATTGGAAAGCTTTCTGAATCTGTGTTGGTTCCATTGCGCAATGAAAGGCGGATCCGAGGAGAGGCTACTCGCGGGCAGTGCGTCGCAATGATGTAATTGCTGAGCTCTCGACTGGCTGCAAACTTCACCTGGATCTTTCCTTGCTGATTGGCATGCAGAACCTGATCGATGATGTGGACCGTTTTGGTTTCCGATAGCTGATGATACAGCAATTTGCCGAGATCGCCTACCTGAGTTGGCTGGAAGTGTACTCGGTGACTAAGCAATGAAGCAGTCAGCTGGAAATATGCGTGCTGAGGACCAGTGCAGTTGTGAACTGTATATATCCCGACCTGCCGCAATCCAGGAAGAGACGGGCGATGAAAGCGAGACCGCCACACAGCCCACAAGAGGCAGAGAGAGAAAGAGAGAGAAAAAGAGACAGAGAGAGAGAGAGCGAGAGAGAGACAGAGGAGAGAGAGAGACAGAGAGAGACAGAGAGAGAGCGAGAGAGAGAGACAGAGAGAGAGAGACAGAGAGACAGAGGAGAGAGAGAAAGAGAGAGAGAGAGAGAGAGAGAGAGAGAGAGAGAGAGAGAGAGAGAGAGAGGAGAGAGAGAGAGAGAGAGAGAGAGAGAGACACAGAGAGAGACAGAGACAGAGAGACAGAGAGAGAGACAGAGA